TTACGGCCGCCATAAGGTACAGCAGGAGAGCAAGCTAGCTCCAAGTATCCATCAATGGTGTCCTCGTCTTCCTGAGAGAGACCACTCATCGGTTCCCATATCAGAGCCTCGTGAGACGGAGAGGAACTAGCCCCAGGTCCTCCCGTTGGAGGAGGAGGAGGTTTCTCAAAATTAAAGGTACAGTTTGGTATTGCAGCTTGAAACTCATCCCCAATATTGATTTTACTATACATAAACAAGCAAGAATATAATTGTCATTGAATAGACAAAACTTTTTTAAAGTCCCTTACGGCTCAAAAGGTTCTTCCAAATCCTTGACACCTTTATTATCACTTCCCTTCCTCTGTGGCCATATCTTATTAGGAGTTGGTATGCCTCCTCCGGTCACGCCTCCTCCAGTTGACCCGCCCCCCACGCCACCTGAGAGCAGTACCAGCGAGCGAGCAGGAGAGAGGATAGGGGGAGGGGTGTAGGGCGGGGAGAACGAGGCTATGCGTCTCTCGTGTGGCAGGGTGAGAGGGGAGGGGCGTGGCTTTATGCTGTTGTCTCGGTCAATCCTTTCAAGCTCCTCGGCTGCACGGCAAAGATCATCCAGAGTAGCGCCTTGTAGGCGTGTCTCCTTCTCTTTCACTTTTAGCTGAAAAGAAAAAATATAATTTTAAACTGCCGATCATCACACATGGATTTAATGATATGCGTGCATGCGTGGACGCGTACATGCTCAGATTTATTGTGAGGTTTGTTTTCTTTGTGATTCTGCTTCCCACGCCCACCACCACCGCCACCAAGAACAACAGTGACTCCGCCTTCTTCTGGCTCTACCTTTGGATTATTCTTCCCTTCTCCATCATCTTCCTTCTTAGCTCCCATCACATAGGGCTAAAGGGAGACAGAGTTATATAGTAGAATCAGTCAGTATATACATGTATATATATATATATATATACATAATATTTATATATGTACATGTACATGTACATGTAGATAAAGTGATGTTGATTCTTACTCTGCATATTCTCTTGGTCCAGTCAAATCCACCGTGAAGCCTCATGTGTCCATTGAGTGCTTTGTTGTTTTTAAAATGACGCCCACACTCTGGACAATTTACTGGATTAGTGGTCACTGGCCTAATAATAACAACAAAAACAACAATCATTTGATAATAATATGAAGAACAATGCATCTACATGTATACACATGTAGATGTACAATCACTAAGAATACATGTATAAGATTAATAGTGCTTACTGTGTTTCCTCTGGTTGAACAAATGGAGTTGGAAGTCTTGCATCCTGTGAGAAAGAGAATAACACATAATTACTTGTAATCATAGCATAGCATAAGGCTAAGGCTATCACAAGTACATGTATATGCATCAGAAAAAAATTTATAAAAATGAAGAATTCTCTCCTAGTTATTTTTGGACAAAGCCACCTTATAGTACAGGGACTTTGGCCCCATTTTTGAGCTCTATTGACAAAAAGCTGCAGATCCTGTGGTAACCCTGAGTATAATAGTATTCTCCAATTTTAGTAAACTAACTATAATGAACGAAAATTATGCCCAAACTAAAAGTGCTAAATAAGAATTACTCAACAGCTCAATTCGATTTGCCAATGACCCAATATACATGTACGTACATGTACTACATGTATACATGTACATGTACATGTGGATGGAGCTCTAACCTTTTTAGCTGAAGAGGATGTTGAAGGAGGAGGAGGAGGGATAGGAGGAGGGGGAGCTTGAGTAGGGGGGCCCCCAGGAGGAACAGGCATCTAGAGATATTAGAAGAAAACACATCAAAAGGGCTTGAAACAAATTATGCAATTTACTAAGCCCTTTACAAACAATAGTGTGAAAATTAGTTGAGTTAGCACCTCATACTACAGGGAAATCCATCCAATGGCAGGGGAAGAGTGTATGTGTATGCTTAATACTTACTTGATGGCTCCAATGGTCTGGGGCTGGTAGAGCAAAGTTAAAGGAAGGTATTGGATAGCCAGGGTGGTGATGTGGTGGAGGAGGCATGTGAGAAGGATTATAGTTGAGAGGATGAGGCAATGGAATACCTATAAAGAGACATTACGAAATAATCAGGATTGATATTTTATTAAAATTCCACTCTTTGTAATTGAATTACTGATTATTGCAGCATGTACTGCAGTTGACATTCACTGTTCAAGTATCAACCAAGCAAGCCAATAATGACTGACTGAGATAACAGATTATAATGGGACGGGCACTACCACTATCGTATTCACTAGCCAGCTCTTATACACACACACTCAAGGAGAATTATAGTAAACATGAGAGGGTAATCTTCTATTACACTATTAGCATTATCATGGACCCTTGATATGTTGATTATATGAGAGAAGAGAGTTGCATAATCCATCATAGTAACATGCTGATAGTAACTCAGTATTATAATTGCTCTATTATTATTATTATTGTTGTTGTTGTTATTATTATGCATTGAGGCCCAAGCCCAAATAACAATCCCTCCAATTCTGGGTAACCAATTCTCACTGTCTCTCTCTCACAATGCCAGCCTGTGTGTGAATCTAAAATGATAGACAATACAAAATAGCTACAAGCTGGCATACATGTACATGTACTCCCACAATGGTACATGTACATGTACATTCAAGGACAGTTGATAATCCTGCAGCTGCAAAGTTCAAAGGCTTAGCTGAGAGAGAGAGTGTGTGTGTGTGTGTGTGTTGTGTGTGGTTTTATAGAATGAGGTCTCTTGTCTCAATTTACAAACACTTCTTTTGCATTAACTGTTGATCCAAGGCTATTCATGACACACAATCCAATGGGGGACATATTACGGGTAATATTAGTCACAAATATGCACATAATGATACTCTATCAGCTAACCTGCAAAGAGAGAAAGCTAATAAGACTTAGGTACACGTAGACTAAAGGTACAGTACATGTACATGTGCGATAACCCGCAATATTTACCATGTGTCACGGGTGTGGTTACAGTAGGTGTGGTTGGATGGGAGTGATTGATATTGTTCCCGCCTGACGTGGTCACAGGGGATTCCATTGGAGGAGAAGAAACCTAAAAACAACATTAAACCATTAGAATGACACACTGTGTATATGTGCTTGATGGAAATGGGAGGGAAGTATTACACCTGGTGCTTTAACATTATAAAAACACTATCTCAACACATAGCTTCTGCAAAGACCCACAAACCATTAGCTGGTAATGTGTGACACATACAGTACATGAAGACATGTACATGTACATACATGTATATGTATATAGGTATAGTGGTGTTTTGCAATTGACAGGTACTGATTCCATAGCTATTAAAGATAAAAGGAAACTGATTACTGATGCATTCAGTTTCTTTTAAATACTATGCAACAGTAATAATATGGTCAATAAAGTAATAAATTTAATAAAAAATGATGAAGGTGATACTGATAATAATAATAATAATAACATAGATAATGATATTGAATTAATGCTCTCTGCATGCAACAAATTGGCAAGTAAACTTAGTGCATAATAAATTAAATTGATAAACTAAAATTCATTTAGAAAGCTGGGTGACAACAACCTACATGGGATAATGTACACAATGTACATGTACACAGACACAGACACACACACACACACACTCAGGTTACCTTATTACTAGTTGAAGTAGGCAAGGGATTAGGAGGAACGTTGGGTGATGGAGACTGAGCAGCAGTTGACTGTGGAGGATAGCGGCCAAATGGATCATCAGAAAAATAAAGAGGATGAGAGAGACAGTCAGAGTGTGGGGGAGGAGGGTAGGGAGGGAAGTGAGGGCTGGTGGGGATAATGAAAGGATGGTAATGCTGTGCTGAAAAAGGAGGATAAGAGTGAGGGGGAGGAGGCATAAAGGAAGGATGAATATGAGGAGGGTAGGGATAAGGGGAAGCATCGTGAGAGTAACGAGACGGAAGAGGAAACTGATAGGGTCCCTCCATTGGGATACTAGTGGGTGTGGTTTGAGATATAGGTACAACATTGCCATCGTCAACCAAAGGGGCGGGCAGTTGTGGTTTCTCAGAAGAGTCTTCGGAGGTTGATGGTTTTTCTTGTTTTACGGCCACTTCTTGGTTGGTGGGAGTAGCCAAGGAAGTCCCATCGTCGTTAGAGGAGGCAGAGACAGGGGTGTGGTCAGCTACTGGAGGAATGGTATCGTCAATGTTCCCGGACTCAACATTTTCTGATAATTGTAACAGCCCCAATATCTGATCTTCCTTTCTGACGGGCTCGGAGAGCGACCCAGTCTCCTCCTGAGGCTCCTCCCCTTTTGGAACCTCCTCCGTCTTCACTAGAGGAGTGTTAGGAAAGGACTGAGTGGGTGTGGTCTCCTTATCTTCCTTCCCCTTTCTTTTAGGACGTCCTCTTTTCTTTTTTGTGGGTGTGTCTTTAGTTGGAGTCTCCTCGCTCTCTTCTAGGCAAGTTTCTTGATCCTTCATCCCTTGTTTCATTTTCTTTCCTCCAACACTTTCGCTGGGAGACTCAAGTTGCTCGGACTTAGCCACACCTCTTTTGCCCCGCCCCCGTCCCCTCATCCGAGGATTACATTTACTAGATGTATCTTCTGCTGTGGATTTCTCTGGAGGTGCTGGTTTTTTAGCTGCCGGTTTTTCGGACGGAGCCTTTTCAGGTGCAGACTTTTCTGGTATTGGTTTATCTTTAGTAGGAGCTGGTTTCTCGTTAGATACGACTGATTCTTCATCACTCAGTCCTTCCTCATTCTCCTCCTCCTCTCCTTTGTTCTTCTTTATGTTTGGCTGGTCGGTATCATCTGATGCTGTATCATCAACCCCTCTCTTCCTCTTCTTCTGTGCTGATGGTCGGAGCTGAATGAAATCAACTGTCTTAATACCTAAAATAATAATAATAATAATAATAATAATAATAATAATAATAATAATAATAATAATAATAATAATAATAATAATAATAATAGTATAATGCACATATCTTTTTTGCTTCCAAGGATTAAGGCTTAATGTACAAACAATCAAAGATATACAAGTAACTTGTTTACATTTCAACATTGCATTATTTGAAAGCGTCATATTACAAACTAAACCTTAACGACATCTCTTTCTTACCAGCAGCTGCAGCAGTGGCACGAGTCACACGATAAGCAGCAGAATAAGACTGGGCTCCAGCCCCTCCTTTACGAGCAGGACCTTTGACTAATGACTCCTCTGGAGTGCTACTTTGCTCCGGCTTTGAGTCCTTCATATTCTGACGAGAGATGCCACCACGACCACGACCTTTCCCTCCCTTGACCTTTCCTTTATCATCAGTCTCAGTTTCGTTCCCAGACGTGGTAGCAGACCCAGACAGGTCCTCTTCTCCTTTGCCTTCCTCTTCAGGTTTGGGATTGAGACGCCTTGTGCGTTTGTTAGTGGGTGTGGTCCTACTGCCCCTCATCTGGCGAGTGGCTGGAGGAGGAGGCAGGTCCTTGTCTTTCTTTTTTGTATTATTAGACACGACATCTGTTGATGGAGTTGTTTTGTGTTCAAGAGATGCTAAGGATTCTGTCTCCATGTTATCATCAACCGGTTCATCTCCTTCTGTTGCTTGTTGCTCTTCATCTTCCTTGCAATGCTCCTCCTCTTCTTCGTTTAATGGCTCCTGCTCCTGCTCCTGCTCTGTCTCCATTGGCTCATCTTTATTGCCAGAACTAGAGAGAGAAAGAGAAAGAGAGGGGGGGAAGGAGATAAGTTTGTGTATTAGTATAGAAAACAAGACCATACAGAGAGATGGAAGCAGATAGGAAAGCTATAATGAATTCCCATTGATAAAAAAAGAGAATAAGAGGAAGTGAGAATGAAAAAGGGAATAATAACAGTCACCATTAAGGTTTCAATGTGCAATAACAAACACTGAAACTATTTGGAGCAACAGAGAGGAGTGAGAGAGAGAGAAAGAGAGGTGGGAAAGCATGTATAAGAAGAAATGCAAGAGATGATGATATGATAAGAATAATCTGCAAGCAAATGCCATTTCAAAACATTCAGGATGAAGATATTATAGTTATGATACACACAAAGGGAGAAATACACACATAAACATTACACATACACAACACTACAGTATGCATGCATGCATGCATGGACCCATAGGCACTATTAGCAGTGACATAAAAATATACTTACTCTTGCTTTGTGTTGTCTTGCAAAGTGGATAACAGGACAGTGCCTTGTTCACAGTTGCCTGTAGATAAGGGAACCATTATCATCATCATAATTATTGGGATAACAACATTGTTGCTATAATAAGAGGCTTTTAGTATACCAAAGCCAGCTCTACCCAGAAGGACGTGTAAATGTATATGTATCTCTTAAGATGACTACAAAGGCAACATTTAAATAAACTGGTACATGCAACTGCTATCATTTAGAGGAAATGGTGAGTTTCTCTCTGTGTGCATACACAAAATCAACTGGAATGATGGATGTCAATTTTAGCTGGCAGACTTATATCAGTTGTACATGTATATCTGTGTACATAATGGAGGGAAAGGGGTTGGCAGTGTCAGCTAGTGTTAGCTATGCATGCACGGAGTGGATTCCAGCTGTTGATCAGGGTTGCTCAATGTCACAATTCCCTAGTCAGTTAAGTATACCTAGCAGTAATGACTAACACTGTTGTTTTTACTTTCAAACTAAACAGAGTAGACAGAGAAAGGAGACATTGAATAATAATATTAAGGAGAGCATGCTTAAAAGAGCAAAAGGGAAAGAGTAGGGAGAGAGAGATATATACAAAAAGAGAAAATGGAAATGGAATCTCTTTTCTCTCCAAGTGATGTGTACATATTGATGCACGGTAGCTACACTCTCTCTCCCTCTCTTTGACATGTATGAATTCTATTTGGCAGAGCTGCTATGTACATTGTTATGAGAAGAGTCCAGCTCTGGTGAAACTCACCCTTCATTTCTGTAGCTCCCCCTAAATCCTTCTCCTCTTCCTCTTTTCCATTAGGATTGTTAGATGCAGCAGAGATGGGCTCACTCTCTCCATTAGTACCAGCAGGTGGAAGAGTAGGAGGTGGTGTAAGTTTACTTAATGACAGGTCAGCCATGTCTTCCTTTGCTGGATCCATGGCCTCTGGTTGGTTGATATTCTCCTCAACTGAGGAGAGGGTATCAGTCATCAGAGGAGAGGAGACCCTGTACAACAACTGGTGAGGTATTCTAGGCTTGGTTAGCACCTTTCTCTCTACCTCTGCAAAAACAGCCTTTTGTGTGATCCCTCCCTGCAAATGGAGGAAATGTCAGTTAAAAACGCACGCTCTTTTCCTCTTTCTCTCTCTTGTCACAAAAGACTAGTCGTGGCAGAAAGAGAAGGCCTGCTTTGTTGCTGGTCCCTTCGCTCAATTCTCCTTTTTACGCTGGCCTTTGTGTGCGAGTATACACAACGTGTTTCTTCGCCCGACAGCCGACACACTTGCGTATGAAAACCGCTGCTGCTCAATACCCCACACAAGCTCTCAGCCTCTCCCTCCTCTCTCTTTTAAGAAAAGGAGGAGAAAGGGGGAGAATGAAAAAGGCAGCAGGTAAAAGCCGGATGGCTCCCTTGAACGCCAGCGGAGAACGAGCACGCGAGGAACAACACAATATGGGGAGAGACAAACACTTGTCAGTCACATTTTTGCAAACTCACACAGACGTCTTCAGCTTCTGTTTGCCTTTACAACAGGACCTCTTCCTTTAGAAAGGGAGCAGGCAGGCTCCTAATAAGAGACTGAGAAAGAGAGAGATTTGGAGGAGGAGGAGAATAAAAGAGCTACACAGCTAGCTGGCTCGTTGGACAGCAGCTAGGATGTTGAGGCTCAATGTAGTTGTGGTTTCCGTCATGACGTCAGGCCTAGATCTGCACAACCCCCTTGCTTCTATTCTGCAAGATTTACACCATAAAACCTCCAATGAACCTCGATTCTTCCTTATTTTTGCTTCTCTGCAGCGCAAAAACCAGCTTCTTTCATTTTAAATGTGCTTTCTCCTTTTAAACAGATGAATGGCAATACAAGAGATACGAGCCATGCGACAATAATTGGAACGAGACATTACACCTTACGTCAATGCTAAAGCTTGTCTAAAAGCAACAATATCACATTGACAAATAATGGGATGACAAAAGTAGACACCAACAAATATAATAATAATAATAATAATAATAATAATAATAATCATTATAATAGAATAATATAAATCCTCTCTCGTGTCCAAAATATTACAAATTACAAAATCTGAGATGAGCTTTTTAATAGGTTACAACTGCTGCATAGATTGTAGTACATAGACAACAAGAAAGAGACAAGAGCTAATACGGAGAGCGAGAGAAAACAGGAGAGAGAAGAAGAGAAAAAGCAAAGAAAAGAATCTACTAGCTTTGCTATATTTATATATAATAGTGTATAGAGTGCATGGTCTACATCTATCATTTTTTTGCTAATTTCATATCGTGTTCTAATTTTAGCCTGTCTAGCTGTTTCCAGAGCTCGTTCCTATCCTTCCCTTTCTTGAGTTCCCTGTAATGATGAAAGTAGGAAAAGAACATAATTAGAGGAACATAATTAGAAAGGCCATGCATGCAGATAATTAAGTATTATAGTGCTAATTCTGCATAATGACAAAGATGCCTTTGACTCACTTTTGTTTCTCTGCTTTGTAAGAGTCTAGCAATTGGTCAAAGAGCTTGGGATTCATTGCAGTCATTGCTTTTAGGACATTGTAAACCAAAGAGACAATGGCCCTGTGGACAATGAAAGGGATTATGATGGGGTAACCACAGAATGAGAGGAGATAAAAAGGAAGGAAGGAAGATGAAGGAAAGTTATGTAGAATGTAATTTGCATCAAAAAAAGAGAAAAATGGGGAAGGGGGCTTTTAATTTGACTGACTTGTTCCAATGCTCTTTGGAAATGCGATATAAAGCATCAAACATGATGGGCATTATTACTTCAGAGTTCTCCTGTATCAGGCCAACAATGTACTCGTTGTTCCAGAAATAGAGTGCTCTCTCTGCAACCTACCAATAATAAAAATAGAGGATTCATCATACAATGAAATGGATCTATGATGATGTATGATGATAGTTATATATTATTAATATGCGAGACTAAGAGGAGAGCAAATGCTTGGAATGCAGGGAAGTTTAAGGCAGTCAGCAAATTAAACATATGTTTAGCTACATACCACTGTGTCTTAGGAGCAAATGGCATGATCAGGTATGAAATTATAGGAATGGAAAGTTTGAAACCAACTAATGACAGCTAGGGCATGGAAGTAATGGGGAATCAGATTATAGGAATGAAAACAGAGTGAGTACTACCCAAAACACTTCACGAGCCAAATTAAGATAAAAGAGAACTAATAATGTCAATGTTTATATTAAAATGCACAACTCTACATTGACAAACATATGCTATACACATAACTAAACACACAAACGCTAAATGTACATGATACATGTACATTAATGTACATGTACATATAGATTAAGCAAGGACACACACACACACACGTACCTGAAAGTGTGGACTAGAGACACATTTAGCCAACTGTCTGAACAAAGGCTCCTGTATTGTAACAAATTGTGGAGCGTCAATGATGTCCAATATCTCCTCTATCTCTCCTAAGTACATGACCTCCTTCGAGCTATTGGTCTTGGGCCAGAACTTAAACAAACCGTGTAGGACCTGCAAGAAGAAGAAAGCAATAGTGTCGAGTGACTCCATAACAATTATAAAGCAATTACAACAAGCTATGGCCTAATCGTTTAGTAGTGACGGCTCATACCTGTTCTGTGAGTGCTGCATCTTTCTCTAAAAACTGGACAACACAGTAGGCAAGCTGCATGGAGGGTAGAGAGAGAAAACAGACATAATGATAGGCTACAGTGGGGAATGGGTTGTATTGTATTTTACCTGTGCTTGATATTGGGCGAGTGATTTGGCTTTGTGCAGCGGTAGTAATACCCTAATGAGGAATTGCTTGTGTTCCACTTTCAGGGGCAAAGCAAACCCATTTATTATGCTGCAGGGAGAGCATTCGAGAGACAAAAGGAAAATGAAAGATATATAAAAAAGAAGGAGTCTCCATCAATACAGATTAGTGCTGTTACCTTCCTAATATCTCTAAGAGTTCGGCTATACCTGCAAATCTTTCTGTTTCATAAACAAATCTGCACAATACAGTGACATAATAATATAATTGCATTACATCATAACAACATACACACACACACATTCTTGGAAGGCTATAAGATATCTCTCTATACAAAACATGTGCACTCTCCTCAGGCCAACATATCAAATTAAAACTTTAAAGACTCTCTTTACCTCAGGAATATGTAATTTATGTGCTTTCTTATGAAAGCTCTAAGACCTAAGAATTTCCCGTATATCCTGTGCAAGACTGTCTTGAGGTAGTCCCTTTCTCTTGGGTCTAGGGAGTCGAATAGCTCGAGGAGCTGGATCACAAACTGCTGGTCTATGTACTTCTTGGCTATGGAAGCCTGCATCTCTGGACTCTCCAGAAATCGTAGGAAGAAAGCGTAGACAAGCTGAGAAAGAGAACAAAGGTCAGGTGAGAAGAGAAGGAATAGCGTCAAAGGGAGAAGTTAATTAATAAAAGGAGGAGTAATATATATTTATATATAAAGTGTTAAAATCATAGGATGGCTCAAGTCTAGTAAACAATTAACTACACATTGATATTGATATTAAACATAAGGAACATGCAAAGGAGCGAGAAGCAGCTGGATAATATCAAATACTACAGCATTCTATCATGCATGACCGACCAATCAAGACCATAATCAATTATAAGACAAAATAGTAGGAGAGTGAGGAGGTGGAGAAGAGAGAGAAAACAGAGGAAAATGAAACAAAAAAGAGAAGATAAAATAAAGATAGTACATCTAATAGGGACCAGTACCACCACTACTGTGTGCTACCAACTGGCCTAGTATTGACTAACTGTAAATAGCTTAGATCATAGCAAATAGGAAACAATCACTACAACATGGTAACTACAAAATGTTAATAGGAGATATATGACAGCTGCTGCTCCAGGAGTGGGGATGGAGCTCAAAAAAGAATTACTAGGCATTTGACAGGTCTAGTGAGAATGAATGAAATGGGCAAAGCAAATAGTTGTGAAGAAATTTATTAAATGAGATTCTCTCTAGTGTTGCCAGTGTTTATAAAAGCAAAAACAAAGCCAGTACCAAATTGGCAGGAAAGAGAAAGAAAGAAAGAGAAAGAGAGAGAGAGAGAGAGAGAGAGTAGGGTCTAAGCTCTTACTTCTAAGTGAGGCCATGTTAGCTCTGTTGGAGGTTCGTCTTCATCAGGATCATATTCGGTTCCCTGCTCGAGTGGGGGGAGTGTTCTAAATGCATTAGTTGTCATCTAAATAAGGAGACAGCAATCAAATTCATAATAAGTGAGTAATAATAATAAATAATGTTAGGCCAATTCCTGCATTTTTATAAGCTGATTATGATAATCAGAGGAGAGCTTATTATACATGTAGCTCCAAAATTTACTTATAACATGTACATTGTAGTTTCAAAATTTACAAATGTAGTACAGAGTAGTAGGACATACCATTCTAACTATCTCAGGGTAGAGTGGCTCAGAGAGAACCTCCTTGTAATTAGTGATATAGTCTAATATCTCGTTAAGAGCTGCTCTCTTTATTTCCTTTGCTCTGAGGTCAGCCATTGGGTCACTGAAATCAAACACATAGCAGCACTGGGCTATCTTCTGGAGCATGAGACTCTCCCTGTCTCCTTGAATGGAATCTAGAGAGAAGAGAAGAGAGAGAGAGGGGGGAGGGAAGAGGTGAGACAGAGTGAAATTGTAAGTTAATAGGAGAAAAGGAGACAGTTGTTGTGAATGAAAAGGATGGGTAAGAGTTAAAAGAGAGGCAAATAATATACAACTACCCAAAGGTAAACAGGAAGTAGAAAACTCTTGGACATAATATTTGTTGTTTTAAAAATTGATACCATGCAATTATCACCTTTTAACAGTGGGAGTGGTTTGTAGTCTGGCGGGGGTTTCTTAAGATTGTATCTCGAAGACGACTGGGTCTGCTGGTTCTTTCGATTGATGTGAGACATTTTACGAAAAGGGTCTGGAACAGGTAGAGATGACGACTGGACCCCCAGCGGAGGGGTCCCAGCCTTGGGCGGAGTCTTGCCCAAACCTTTTGATGCTTTCGACTAAAACAAAAAGAGGAATGTGGCGTAAAAAAACAAAAATGCTCCCGGCTTATGACAAAAAGAGAAAAAATACGTATCCATTTACGTATTGTTACACGTTATATCAAAACAAGCTTTGCAGGAGGAATAGCAACCCATTTCTGTATATACAATACTGCTAGAAAAACAGGTGGGCCCAGATCATGCTTAATTACATTAGTGCTAGTGTCATGAGAGCAGCTAGCCCTCAGTACTTACTGTCATTTTATTCTCTCCTCTCTCTCAGCAGGGGAGGTCGTGGAGGAGACAGACACAAACAATGAAAGGTTCTCAGCGGCTGGTTGTCGAGTACTGCCTCCTCACTGGATAGGGAACAGAGAGCAGGAGACAGGAAATAAATATCCAGGCTAAGGACCAAGTAGACTGTAGTCCCTCTCTTAATGAGATAAAGAGAGAGTTTAAGAAGGAGAAGAGAGAGAGAGAAAACACTTGGAAGCCTCTCTCTGTTGGACCACACCCCGGACTGTTGTCTATGTTGAGGGCGTTACCCTCTCTTTTCTGAAAAATAATATTATTCACTGCATATGCACCCAGTCCATATGGTAACTCCTCTCTCTTTCTCTGGAAGTTGTAAATAAGCTCTGATCATGTTTGGAGAGAAAGTTCTGGACTTAGTCGGGGAATTAAAACGAGCCAGGCCTGGGACCATACCTCCTTACAATGAAGATTTAACAAGACAGGTGGGAAAATCAATTAATTTTAAAAAATAAAAATAATTATATAATTTAATTTAATTATAAATCTAATCTGTGCTATTTATAGTTCTTAATTATAGTATGGTCTTTTTATCATTATTTTTTTAGGTAATCGAAGAAATGCGTGTGCTCTTTGAAGAGAACCTCACCGATGTCAGTGAAGCTGCAAGCGAAAAAGAAAAAGCAACGCCTAAACCTGAACTCTACCCTAGTATACACCTCCGTCACGTCTGCCTTGAGAGAAACCAGCGTGGGCTACTCCTATACAATTACAACCGACTCGTCAAACTGAGGGATCTCCGCTGGGAACTGGGCTCCATACTACCAGACGAGTTTAGATTGAGTCTCTCGGAGCAAGAGGTCCAATGGTTTCAACGCTACAACAGGAGTCTGGCCAATTACATGCGATCGGTCGGAGGGGGAGTACTCGACTTAACCGAGTACACCCAACCACCAAAGACCCTCCACATTGAGGTACGGTGCCTAGAGGACTATGGCGACTTAGAGACAGACAATGGAACTGTGGTACAATTAAAGAAAGGCCGTCATTATTATCTACTGAGGTCACAGTGTGAACAACTCATAAGACAAGGGATACTTGAACACATTCAGTGAAATATTTTGACAACTATTGATCACACATAGTATTCGTGTTAGTAGTATTATAATATAATTAATAATTCAAATATAAAATAATACTATTGTTATTGTGAGGTCTCCTCCACTGATCTGATCATGGATCATCACTGCCAAGTTTGTTGTTATCATTAGTGAGTTCATTTGTATTACTACTGTCATCATGTTCTATTTGTTCATTATTTGTGGAATCTTGTGCTACAGGTTCCTGTGCTTTTGTTTCTTCCACTGGGTCTTGACCTGGTTCTCCCATAGGGTCTTGAGTTGGTTCTCCCACTGGGTCTGGAGCTGATCCTCCCACTGGGTCTGGAGCTGATCCTCCCACTGGGTCTGGAGCTGATCCTCCCACTGGGTCTGGAGCTGATTCTCCCACTGGGTCTTGAACTAATTTTTCCACTGGGTCTTGAGCTTCCTTCACTGGGTCTGGTGTTGGAGTTATTTCTGTTTGTACTGGGTCTTGTACTGTTTTTGGTTCTTCAATGCTCTCATTCAAGTTCTCTCTCCCAGCTGCTCCAGAATGATAACTACGTGCTAAGAAGAAAGTAATAATTCACTAAGCATCCCATTCTGTCTTCCCTTACCAGGTGCAGTTGGATGCTTTTGTAATGATGGAATAAAATTAGGTTTTTCTTCAGTTGTATTTGGGTTTTCTTCTCTTTGAGGACTACCTTTTGTCTCCAGTGGAAAATAAACTTGAAGAAGCTCTTCATAAATCAATGTATCTTTCTTCAGAAAAGTTGTAATAATAATTCTATCTGTCTGCAAAAATTTATTAAAAAAAACATAAATAAAAGAATGGTCACCTTGTCTGCATTGTCTTCTTTTTCCAGCCATTTTCTTATTGTTTCCAGTGCAATGTGAGCTGCTTCACGATTTGGAAACCCATACACACCAGTTGCAATGCAGCAGAAAGCCTAGGCAATGAATAACAAAAGAAAAGACAAAAAAGTTAACATTAATAATAATGAAGTGTTGCATTCAATTTCTATGAATTTTATGCGAGTATATAATTACTAAAGACTTGATGTTATTTTCTAAAGCAATCTGCAAGCACCTCTCATAACAGCTTCTTAAACAATTTGGATCTTCATCCATTGGGCCAACAGTGTGAATAATAACTGCATATAATAATTGTACAAGAGAAAGAGAAAAAAAGAGAAAGATGACTGACTAAATATTTAAACAGTCTTACACTTTGCTGGTAATCTGTGTCCTACAAAAATTAAAAATATAAAACTTAAAAAGTATAAAACATATATATTTCACTTACCACTTGATAATTTGGCGTCTCCAGCATCACACCCACCTAATTTAGAACACTCTTCTCTCAGCGAGCTACTGGCAGCTGCATGTATGGCCCCATCAACTCCGCCCCCTCCCATTAACGAGGAGTTAGCAGCATTGACAATGGCATCAATCTCTAGCCGTGTTATATCACCATTCCAGAGAGAGATCTTATCATTAAGCAATGGATTAATGTCAGCTTTAGGAGGATCCAGAGGCTCTGGGATTCCTGAAAATAATAATTATCATTACCGTGCTTAACTTCCTCATTTAAATATCAATGTGCATAACTATAATACCATACTTCTTTTCAAAGCATATTCAGTCCATGTTTTAATGCCTTCCAGTTGCAAAAATTTATCACGACAACGATACTGCTCTCTTTTCTTTTCAAGTGGTAGATTCTCCCAGTACTCCTTACCTGTGCACATATTATATGCATAAATAATGATACTTAAAATGCATTCACCATACTATTGTTCCCTCCTTGAGTGTATGATTTAAACCTTTTAATCTCGCTTTTCATGTATGAGATAGGAGATCCCCAAAATGAATAGGTTTGATTTTGTGCTGATACTGTATGAGCAGGTCTCTTGCTCTTAGGATCTACTATAGAATCATTACTGGTAGCAGCTTCTCCGGAATTACTTGCAGCAGCAGCGGAGTTGTCCTTTTCATCAAGTGGTCTCTTTAAGGTTTCTTTGGTTTGGGTGGAGTCTGGACTCTCTGCCGAGGCAACAGTCTGCTCATGTAAATCTTGCTCGGTTCCTTCAGTCTCTCCTCCATTGGCGGGAGTCTCTACATTAGACATAGTAGCTAATACTCTAAGACGAAGCGAAGACTTTGAAGAAACAAAGAAAATAGCTGAAGTGATCAATTTTAACATGTGGGCGGGATTTGGCTCCAATCGCAATCTAATCACGTGATTACCTAATTAATTAATTAATGATTGACGTTTATTAATTAATCAGCCACACCTAAAATCATGCAACACTAATTATACAAAAAAAAATTAAAAATACATGTATAGTATATAGCTCTCATTGTATTGGCTCTTTAGTTACTTCCTTTTCTCTTGAGACAATTTTCTTTTTTCTAAAAAAGACAAGAACTCTACACACACAATACTATAATATGCAATGATCCACACTCACAAGCTGAGGATTAGACCAGCTCCCCACAAAGCAGCAGAGACCCAATACACTAGTCTTGGACTGTGACTCAGACTATTAACTGACTCTGTTGTCTCTGGAGTATATATCTCATTGAATACAACAGTGGCAATAATAGTCCCAATCAATTGCAAGGCAGCCACAACAGAAAACGTAGCACCTATAATAAAAGTCAACATAAATTACACTTGCTATTAGGTTAACAGTATACTCCAATTAGTCTAATACAAAACAATAAATTCCTTACCTAAATCCTCTTTCTTAACCAATCGAGTAATGTAGGACTTTATACTAGGAGATATAAGCGCCTCCATACTGATAATGATACCAACTAGAGAAAGAATAATAAAGTAGCAGTCTCACTACAAAAAGATATAATGCATGCGTGTATATTTATACCTAAGAACATCTCCCATGTCTTGCTCACAAACGTAGCGATGCATAAATCACCAACAAGAACAAAAACAATGCCAACACTCATTATGATGGGATCAGAGATCTTGGCTAGCACCATTAGAGGGAGTATAATGAAGAGTACCAAAATGTGAGCAACCGAAGAGACAGCAAGATAATTTCCGATGAGAGTGTAGCCCCATTCAAGTGGTTTATTATGTAGAAAGTAACTAATAATTTGAACACCGCCAGTCTCGTCAGTCATTACAAGAACAATAATGGCATTGATGATCCAGAGTTTTATAAGTGTCGAAGCATCCACGTAAGAGAGGGAGGTGAATATCTTTATACCTTGAACAAGAGATCGGAAGCCATTCCTAGATGTTTGGTGATTTTTGCTTTTAATATCTTTACTCAATGATTCTGGGAGGAGTATTACAGTGTATAATAATCCACACAAAAATGACGCTAAGATGAGCCAGACCATAGGGTGAAAGTCGCAACCATTAGCATCGATCCATTTGTCAGCTGCAGGAGAACCAGCTGCTCCACCAACAAATATCATAGAGCTCACTATAGCCATGCGTATGGTTAACCAACGAGGAGGAGTAATGTCGGTAACGTATGCAGCAGCTGAAGATAATATGACACCGAATCCACCACTTATTCCATTGATTGCAGACGTTAAACAGAAGTAATACATATTTAGTTTGAAATAAACAATGAAGATGGAGACCACAGTGGCTGCTGCCTGTCCCACAAAAACAATAGCAATAAAAGGCTTGCGTCCATACACGTCAGAGTACGGGATAAGAAAGAGGGAAGTAACTACTGACAAGGAAAGAGAGATGAGCGTTGAAATCATGTTAAGATGATTGACCTCTTTTTGACCTTTGAGGAATGTAGCCTGTGAAGACATGTTTGTAATGGCATCTTGATTGAGGCATGTGCTATCATTCTCAAAATACCAATCATCCTGTTCATTTGATATGTTGTTAAAGTCAAGGATTTCTTGTTTCATGATCCTCTGGTAGAAGTATTGCTGGTAGAATTGCATTTGGAAGTAAATTGTAAAGAGGTAGAAGAAAGCACTTAGTTCCACTGGAATGACAAAAAACTTGATGTTTTTCCACAAGAGCCACTTTCTAAGAGGACGTATGGAGGTCTCTTCATCTTTTTCATCAGCAGAACTATCATCATTCTTCAACAGGGACTCATTCTCCTCTTTCATAGAGGTCATTTTCATGTTTGCAAATTTTAGGACACGCCCAATAGACACGCCCCAGCTACTGCACCACGTGGCATCACGTGCGCAATCCAATGCATTAAAAAAATCATAGAATATACCATAAATAATCATAGGCACAAAAATTCACATGGAGGTCATAAATAAATCAGCTACACCTACAAAAATTAGCAAAAATAGATAATTATAGATTTCATTGTATTGGCCTTTTGGTTATTTCCTTTTCTCCTTCAGTTTTTTTCTTTTTTCTAAAAAAGACAAGAACTCTACACACACAATGTTATAATATGCAATGATCCACACTCACAAGCTGAGGATTAGACCAGCTCCCCACAAAGCAGCAGAAACCCAATACACTAGTCTTGGACTGTGACTCAGACTATTAACTGACTCTGTTGTCTGTGGAGTATAAATCTCATTGAAGACAACAGTGGCAATAATAGTCCCGATGATCTGGAAGGCAGCCAAAACAGAAAATGTAGTACCTATATGTATAATATTAACAATGTGAGGTTATAATTATAATGAGTCAAACCTAAATCTTCTTTTTTAACCAACTGAGCAACATAGGACCTTAGACTAGGAGCTACAACTGCCTCCATGCTAATGAAAACACCAACTGGAAATACAGAATGACAATAAACCATTGATATGGGAGTTAGAATTACATGCATAATCTCAACATAATGTGTTATACATGTATTTTATGAAGTATGCATACCTAAAAACATCTCCCATGTCTTGCTCACAAATGTAGCGATGCATATATCACAAACAAGAACAAAAGCAATTCCAATACTCATTATGATGGGATCAGAGATCTTGGCTAGCACCATTATAGGGAGTATAACTAATAACACGACCACATGAGCAACAGAAGAGACTGAAAGATAATACCCGATGAGAGTGTAGTCCCATTCAAGTGGTTTATTTTGTAGAAAGTAACCAATGATCTCAACATTGCCAGTCTCGTTTGTCATAACAAGAACTGTAATGGCATTGATGATCCAGAGTTTTAAGAGTGTTGAAGCATCCACATAAGAGAGGGAGGTGAATATCTTTATGCCTTGAACAAGAGCTCGGAAACCTTTCTTAGAGGGTTGGTGATTCTTACTTTTAATGTCTTTACTCAATGATTCTGGAAGGAGTATTACAGTGTATAATAATCCACACAAGAAAGCCGCTAAGATGAGCCAGACCAAAGGACGAAAGTTGCAACCATTAGAATCAATCCAATTGTCAGCTGCAGGAGAAGCAGCTGCTGCACCAACAAATATAATAGCTCCTAAAACTGCCATGCGTATGGTTAACCAACGAGGAGGAGTAATGTCAGAAATGTATGCAAAAGATGAAGCTAGTATCACACCAAATCCACCACTTAGGCCATTGATTGCAGCCGTTAAACAGAAGTAATACATATTTAATTTGAAATAAACGATAAAGATGGAGGCCACAGTGGCTGCTATCTGTCCCACAAAAACAATAGCAATAAAAGGCTTGCGTCCATACACGTCGGAGTACGGGATAAGAAAGAGGGAAGTAACTACTGACAAGGAAAGAGAGATGAGTGTCGTAACAATGTTAAGATGATTGACCTCTTTTTGACCTTTGAGGAACGTATCCTGTGAAGACATGTTTGTAATGTCATCTTGATTGAGGCATGTGCTATCATTCTCAAAATACCAATCATCCTGTTCATTTGATATGTTGTTAAAGTCAAGGATTTCTTGTTTCATGATCCTCTGGTAGTAGTATTGCTGGTAGAACTGCATTTGGAAGTAAACCGTAAAAAGGTAAAAGAAAAGGCTTAGTTCCACTGGGATAACAAAAAACTTGATATTTTTCCACACGAGCCATCTTCTAAGACGAACTCTGAAGGTTTCTTGCTTGTATCTTTCTTGCTCATCAGCTGAACTACCAGCTTTCTTCCACAAGAGAGTTTCTTTCTCATCCGCCATTGTTTTATGGCCACACCCACAGACCCACCCTTTTACTGTAGGCGTGGTCATGGAAGTGTTTCTATAGCAACACCCGCCAAATACCAGTGACCACGTGCTCGTTTGCTTTGCTTTGTCAGCACAGACTGTCCAGTGGTCATGAGACGGAACTCAAAGAGAAAAAGCAACCAATCTATTCGATACCCGTCCCAACAACAGCCATCATGTAAGAGAATTAAGAGCAAAGAGAAAAGTTGCAATTCAATTATGAGTGGGCGTGTCTGTGGGTGTGGTTTTACTTAAATGTTAATGAATTTTATTAGCAAAAAGACAAAAGACATCTTTTGTGAGTGAGAGCTACTTATCAACTCTCAGTGCTGCTGGAGTGACGCTACATGAAAACTCACCTCCTGTTTTAAGTAAAACGATTAATTTAAAAATAATAATTATTTTAAAATAACTAAACATGACTACATGTAGACACTAGTGCGCAAGAATTCAAACACCAACTCACCAAATCCCTCAGTACATTAGGGAATGTACCGTCAGAGGTAAGTAGAGAGAGAGAGAGGGGAGAGAACATGTCCTTAATTTTTACATGCACATGTACATGTATCTTTTTCTTTCTCTCTCATTAGGAATCAGTTGCTGAGTTTGTTAAAGGTTACGAGCAATACGTCATGGAATCAGAGAGGTCAGCTGGAGCCATGTGTGTATTCTCGTTCATAAATTAAAAGTTTCCTCTAATGCTCTTAATGGAGTTTGTATAGCATATAGCCTTACCTATTATGTAGCAATGAGTAATTATGTAATTCTACTTTACTAAAAATATGTTTATGCAGCTGCTTGATTTTAAAAATATAATTGCTGTTTGTAGGCTTCTCTTTAGTCTCCAACCAATGAAAAATAACATTGACACAGAAAGCAGGTTTGTTTCCTGTTACTAAATATGGATAAAATAATAATGTTCTTTTTATAGTTCAATCAGTTTTAGTCGCGTGTTACTAAATATAGACTGTCTCCAAACAAAAATTGCACTGATCCTTATTGAGAAGCTCTTGGAATTTGCTGACACTTTGTATGTATGCATACAGTACATGCAATTATGTTTTATTTTGTGTGTGATATTCATGTAGTGGTGTGGATGCAAGATATTGTGATGTCCCCAAGCTAATACTCATTCAGCTTCACTGGTTGGATATCATTATCGAAGAGAAGGTATATAAAGAGAAATATAATTGATATTTTAAAAATACATGTACATTTATTTACAGGTTATATTCGACAAGTTATTTGAAGTTCTTGATGTTCTTCCCGAAGACATTCAACGAGACATTGTGCAGCTGTTGCCAGAAATTATTATTTCATATGATGAATCTGAACTAGCAAAAAAGCTACAGTTAGTGATAAATCCCTTTTACTCCCTCACCCTCTCTCTCTCCCTCTCCCCCCCCCCCTCTCTCTCTCGTATTAAAGAGAGCTCCTAGAGAATCAGAGTCATTTAGTAGCTGCCTGCATTGAAGCTTTATCTAATTTGAACATACCGTCTGATTTATCAGAAGAAGTAATGCATATGATTGCAAATTTAATTTTTATATTTTTATGCAGATATTGGAGTCGGCATTGGAGAGGATCTCATCTTGTAGTGTCCCTGATTTACCATTACTCATTAACTATATCTCGAGTCAAGTTACATCTAAAAACCATATCAAGGTATTTCTCTTACATGTACATATACATGTGCATACAACTGTATAGCATTACATAATGTACACGCATATCACGTATGTACATGTACTTTACATGCATGTACATATATGTCACATGTGACATATATGTCACAGGTGACATGTAGGAATTATTGTGTGTGTGTGTGTGTGTGTGTGTGTGTGTGTGTGTGTGTGTGTGTGTGTTAGGTGATAGGAGAATTGAGACAAAGACTGGATGTTGAGACATGTCTATTGACTAGACCCAATGCATCATCTACTCCTGTACCCACACTAACTAACAGGTATTGAGGATATAGTACATGCTCCATTATTCCCTATTGATAATAATCTTTATTATTATTATTATTATTATTATTATTATTATTTATTATTTATAATAGTGGTAACAGTACCAGTTATGCTATACTAAACTCCATCTGCTCATCACTCCAATATGTAAAGCATGTCCCCGATGCTTGGATAAAGGTTTTAAAAAGTATTCTCAATACCCTTTAAGTCTTATTCTGCTAAAGGTAATTGGTTCTGTTGATGATGAGTCCTCTCATTCCTCATTGGACCTGTTCATATTGTGTATCATTAATGAGATTACTGCCAAGAGGAAGGCTGTCTTTGATCTGGTGATAGCTAAAGTTAAGAGTGGGCTCTTTAGCGCGGAGCTGGTCGATGAACTATTTAATTCCCAACTTTCAGTAAAATTATTATTATTTGTTATCATTATTATTATTACTATTATTATTATCATTATTATTATTTTAGAGTGTCCCAGTCATATTCCCGAGCACATTGGCCCTCTGTTCAAAGCTCATTAGTCACTCATCAAACGAGCTTGTCCTTTCCTTTGTAAAGAGCCTATACTTTCTCCTCTTCACCAGTTTCGATGCCATCAAACAAAAGGTACCTGCAACATGTACTAATTTCTGATTGGTATCCAACTATGCATGTTCATGCATGTACATTTTAACTGTTTTTTTAATTAGGAAGTGATAGTATCATTGATTGATACCATTGGCAGTGGGATCAGTCACAACAGAGACTGTGTGTTGAGTGTATTGGAACTGCTTGTTGATAAGTCTCTGCATCAAATGATCAAGTTTTCAGTATTTATTAAAGTAAGCTGGTGTGTACATAAAAGAACAAGAACTGAGACTTATTGACTGATGAATTTAGTGTTGCTAACTATGTATGTACAAGCACATAAATTATGTATTCATAAGTACATGTAGTTCCAATCTATAATACGACAAGTATGATAATATCTTAACTAGTTCTTGTGGTTAAGCCACAGACTAAACTGTTCACTCCTTCTTTTATGCTCCAATGTACATGTACATGTACATGTATGCCTGCTTTATAAAGGTGCATTGCTAATTTACTATTGTACACAAAATTCCTATTGTATTACTGGATGTATATTATTATTAAGTCTTTGTAATGTATTCATTATTCATAGAGTGTTCTTGATTATTTGAATCAGTTCAGTTTGCCTCAAGTGAGGAGACTCTATGCAATCCTCAGTACACTGACCTGCTCCTCTGGTTCTCCCCTCACTGGCTCTGTTAGTGATGAGTTTCATTCTATCATTAGGAAGCAGCTCCACCATCATGAACCACTGTAAGGAAAGGAGAGAGAGAGTGTTACATGTTTGTCAATAAAGATAAGACAGTATAATGCTATGTACATGTACATGTATTTATAGGTTTCATCAGATGGGTATCATTGGTGCTGTGGTAATGATAAAACAACTTACTTCTAAAGGGTATTCCCTCATACATATGTACATAGCATGCTCTTTCTATTTTTTTAGAAATATTCATGAAACAACTATAAATACGAGAGATACCAGCTTATCAACACACAGCCTGTCTCAAGTACATCTTCACTATAGTCCAGCATTCTAGCTCTCTCTTCCCCCCCTCTCTCACTCTTCCCCCCCTCTCTCTCTCTCTCTTCCCCTCTCTCTTTCTCTCTCTCACTCTCCCCACCCCTCCCCCCTCTCTCTCTTTGGTAGGCTAAGCTAATGCTTGAACAAGTGATCAATGCTTGTACTGACCTGTCATCTTTTTATGAAGAAATGGCAAGTGTTGTCTCTGAGAGAGAAATCCACAATGACTTTCTAGTTAGTGTACAACGTACAGTAACAATACTTGTAGTGATTGTCTTCTTCTTTTTCTTTATTTGTCCCTATGTGTAATGTTCTATAGAAATATCTTCTTGAAGAAGTCACTGGTAAATTCCAAGAGATATATGTCATTGAAGCTGTTGACCTCACGACTCAAAGGTTTATATATAAAAATTATATTGCCCCACACAATTTTGTTCCTTCACCGAGTCAAATTTTGAAAGTTAACCCAATCATAATATTTATTTCTAGTGATGCCAGTGGTGGACTGTCTACAAAGCAGCAGTTTAATTTGGATCCAATTGCAGCAGATGGTGACTCTGACCCTATAGCAGTGGAGCTGTTTGATCTATTAAAATCCTCTTCAGCACAAAAGTCTGTTAATTTGCTACTTTTTGTACATGCATGCACATTATGTATTTTTAATTTTATTTATTTTTATTCAGATCAACTCTTGCTGCATCCCTTCCTTCTCATTTCAAGTTACTGAGGACGTGTGAGCAAGTACTTAATGGAGGACTGGAAGAAGTGGATGCTTTGTTAGGTAAAACTATATTTATATTGGCTGTAGAAAAAGTATATAGTGTCATTATATTAGTTATTATGCATTACACAATACACTAATATGATCCACTCTCTCTCTCTCTCTTTTAAGGATGCCCCATTGTGTTGTGCAGTCCATCTAAACTAGAGAAGGACTTATTTGAAGAGCTCTCCATGCATGAAAGACAGTTAATATGTTCCTCACTGGTACACACTATAAACTGGTTCAGGGAACTGGTAAGGAAAGGAACATATGCACTTGTATATGCTGTTACATCTCTCTCTCTCTTTCTCTCTCTCTCTCTCTCTCTCCCTCCCTCTCTCCCTCCCTCTCTCCCTCTCTCTCTCTCCCTCTCTCTCTCTCTCCCTCTCTCTCTCTCTCTCTCCCTCCCTCCCTCTCTCCCTCCCTTTCTCTTTCAAGGTATCTTCATTTGCTTCAGAGTCTGATAAAGAGATGAACTGGAAGGTTCTGATGAGGATTAAGAATATTTGTTCACTACAGGATCAACTCAAATCACTTTTAACTGGTATGTGCATGTACATGTATGCATGAATTTGAAAGATATATGTTTGGCACTAATAGTTATCATCATAACCTTCCCTTTACTACAACATCATTAAATTACTGTTATATTTATTATATTATTAATTATATTAATTAGTGACAAGTGGTCCATTCCCTACTCTCGATGTTAGTACCAGTTCTATTATTAGTAACACAGACAAACGTACCAGTAGCAAGTGAGTCAATCTATAGTCTTATGTTGTGGTCTTTGGCTAAATTTTGCCAAAAATGACTAGGAGATGATTTTCTATTTTTATAACTTTTTTTGATACATATACATGTTTTTATGTTGTGTAGCAAGTTTGAGCTGATTCCGATCAAAATTGGATTTTTTACAAATTTTTAAAATTACTCAAAAACCGGGCCAAAGTCCCTGTACTATAGTACAGGGTATTTGGCCAAATTTCACCAAAAATGACTAGGAGAGAAGTCACCATTTTTATAACTTTTTCTGATACATATACATGTTCTTATGTTGTGTAGCAAGTTTGAGCTGATTCTGATCAAAATTAGATTTTTTACAAATTTTAAAGTTACTCAAAAACCAGGCCAAAGGGTGTTTAGCCAAATTTTGCCAAAAATGACTAGGAGAAAATTCTTTATTTTTATAATGTTTTCTGATGCATATACATGTTCTTATGTTGTGTAGCAAGTTTGAGCTAATTCCGATCAAAATTGGATTTTTTACAATTTTTTTAATTTACTAAAAAACCAGGCCAAAGTCCCTGTACTATATATAGTACAGGGTATTTAGCCAAATTTTGCCAAAAATGACTAAGAGAGAATTCTCCATTTTTATCATTTTTTCTGATGCATATACATGTTCTTATGTTGTGTAGCAAGTTTGAGCTGATTCCGATCAAAATTGGATTTTTTATGAATTTTTAAAATTATTTAAAAACCGGGCCAAAGTCCCTGTACTATAGTACAGGGTGTTTAGCCAAATTTCGCAAAAAAATGACTAGGAGCTGATTCTCAATTTTTATAACATTTTCCGATGCATATACATGTTCTTATGTTATGTAGCAAGTTTGAGCTGATTCCGATCAAAATTGAATTTTTTACTAATATTTAAAGTTACTCAAAAATCAGACCAAAGTCCCTGTACTATAGTACATGGTTTTTGGCCAAATTTGACCAAAAATGACTCGGAGAGAATTCTCCATTTTTGTCATTTTTTCTGATGCATATACATGTTCTTATGTTGTGTAGCAATCAAGTTTGAGCTGATTCCGATTAAAATTGGATTTTTTTAGAAATTTTTTAAGTTTTTGATGTAACATATGAATGTGATTTTATATAGGACCCAGAAGGATCAGTCTGTTCTTGTGACACAAATGAATCAAAGTATGGCACCTACTGCAGCTACAGCCACTGGAAAGGTATGAGTAGTTTGTGTATGAAGTATTTACTGCATTAATGATTTTGTTATTGTGCTAGGATCACAATGACACAGTATCTGTTAAGAAAGGAGGAGGAGGAGGAGGGAACTTGCTTTATGACAGATTTCAGCTTTTATTTAGGTATTATAATATTATGCATAATGCATGTACTTACTACTTAGTGTGAATTATGGGTGCATTTTATATATTAACTGCTATTATTACTATTATTATTTTTTTATCATACCAAAAATAAACAAAAGTATTATTATTGTTGTTGTTGTTGTTGTTGTTGTTGTTGTTGTTTTAGGCCATTAGAGATGTCAGCTTACAGAGCTCTAGGATACAAAGCTATATCACGTTCATTGGTTGATACACACATGCAACCACTGGAGTCTCAGAGTGTAAAGTTGAAACCGTCAGAGCTTCTGTTCCTCTTGGAGAGCCTTAAGAGATCCCTCCCGAAAGGAAGTTTTGGTTTCGTAAGCATCATAATTATCATATATCATTATAGTGATGATGGATTTTAATTGTTAGAAGGCAAGAATTAACAATGAAGAGAAGAAGAGATTTGTGGCAAGTTTTGTTGAGAACGGAATACTTGATTCACTATGTAATCACCTTGAAGAGCTCCACAAAGTAAATCATTTAAATGTTCACATGCTTATGCCTTTCACTCTAATTTCTCCTCCTCTTATACATGCTGTATCTATTCCCCCTTCCTTCTGTAGATAGAGGATGAGCATGATGAAGATCTTGATATTATTTACTCCTGCATGTTGTCCCTGTACAGCATAATGTCTTCATTCTTTAGTCTGTAAGTCATTACTCCATCAAATCACGTATGTTCTTAATTGTTCTCATCTTTAGTCCTTTCACCAATGAATCATTGATTGAATCTTTAAAAGTTTTATCGAATCGTTCTTTGGAACTCTCCTCTAGTCAGATCTTTGACATTGATTCTATAGCAGGGTAGGGTAGCATTGAGTTTTTTTATGTGCATACATGTACATTGTACATGTAAAGCTAATGTATAGTAAATTGTAGCAATAAATTTGAGGAACTTGTGGGTGGATTTTATAAGCTCTCTTTTTCTTACTTAGCTCAGCTATAGTGTATTGCCAGACTTTTATTGGTCGTATTCCTAATCTCACCATAGCAGCTGCTTACTGTAAGCTGCTCGTGTCAATTGCAAAAGCTTCCTCCAACGGATTGAAAATAAATATTAGTAAGACTACATACATGTTGTATAGTCTCTGTCTCTTCATGATGTGCTTCAATCATTTGTTCTTTCTTGATCATCAATCTTTTTTTTTTGTTTTTAGGTAAAAGCTGTGAGAAGCTTTTAAATGTTAATTGGGATGAGTTGAAGGGAGTCACTCACAAGAATGATAGTCTTGAGTTTGTCATCAAGTATGTAATAATCTCTAATATAAATATATAGTTGTCCTTTCCTTTGTTTCAAGGTATTATATAGAATATGCTAGTAATCCAGTGGGTGTAGTTGAAGAGCTCTGCACTGAAGTTATTACTGAACTGATAGAAGTAGAAGAAGAAGAGGCATGTATTCATCAATCAACAAAGATACCAACACTCAGCCTGTAAGATTAAAAACTCTCTTTTTTTCCTAATTTTATTTCTTTTATTATTTACTAATAATATTTTTTCTCTTCTCTTATATATGCATTATTTACTACAGGACTACATTTTCTTGTTATTTCCGGTGTATGATGAATGCTATCAACAATCATGCTAAGAGTACACTTAATAAAAACGTGACTTTATCACAGGTACAGCTTTTCATCATCATTTAATGCAATGAAATTGATTTTTTTTTTTTTTAGAATCAGTTGTCTGGTTTAATGACACTGGAACAGTGCAGCAGAGTTATGAACATGCTCATGAACTATGTAAAGGTAAAGTAATGTTATTATTTTTTAAACACTTATCCTCTATAATTTCCTATTTCTCTATCTCTTTCCTTTTTTCCAGTCTTTTGATTCCAAGCCAGTAATTGCTGCTGGTCTAAAGCTTGGTATGACATTTGTTGAGATTTTCTCTAAGCAAGGCCTACCACTCATTAAAGCATCTTTCAAGACAAGAAAAGTACATATGCATATACATGTACATGCACTTGTAGGCAAACTGACAAAGCATATATTTATGCCCTTTATATATTGCATGCTGCATGATTAATGGTGTGACATTTAAAAATTTTAGGATAATGTGCTCCAGATTATAAAGATATTTCAAAAGACCACAAGGCTATTGCAGAACTACTGTGGTCACTCAAAGGTTGTGGCTAACCCATTGCTTACTAATTATGTCCCTAAAGTAAAGAGAGCTCTGGAAACTTTTGTATTTGAAGTAAAGGTATGCTAGACAAAGAGATAATGATGCTAATGAACATGATGCAATGGCATTGTATGTACATTGCATGTTCTTTATTTGTTAGGAGGTACTGGTTCTTAATGGTTGTTCTGAGGCATTTGGGGTCAAAAACTTAAAGAACAGAACACTCAAGGTTTATAGTATACTATATAATTATGCATGTTTAGTTTTTGTTAATTTTATGTTTAGGGAGATGAGATACTAACTCAATCTCAAGTTACCAATGATAGTCAAGAGGTGGAGGAGGAGGAGGAGAGAGAAGAAGAAGAAGAGGAAGAAGAAGAAATTGTATGCATCCTATAATCCTTATAGCACGTACATGTACCTGATAATTTGTCAAATGTTGGTCCTTAGGTTTGCCCTGTGTGTCTTAATAATCACCTGAGTTTGCGGCATCACAGCTTGGGTCTGCCCAGGGTGTCATCTAGTGTGCTTACCATGTGCATAACCTGTTTGTCTGGTTTTATTTCCCTGTATAAGATTTTTTGGTTGTGAGATTATAAAACAGCCAGCCATCACTCAGTCAGGCCTTCCCACAAATCATTTTTATCTTCAGCTTTGTTAGACTTTAGCCCAATAACTATAGGAAGATGGCAATGATGGATCGATCCTCTTCTGTTTCAAGTCTAGAAGGCACTGCTCATATGACTGTTGTTTCAAGCCTAGGGAAAGTAGTTAGTGGATTGGAGTCCAGGTTTGCATGTGGTGGATCTATCAGTGAGAGTACAGTACTCATCTCTTACAAGAAGAAGTCTGGAGAATGGTCCCCTCAACCTTTAAAGCTACCATCAACTGACAGTACTGTACTCCAGGACCTGCTCCAGTCTTGCTCTGTGGCTAGTTTTGGTCTTGGGTCTCAAACTGTCACTGATAAAGACTATCGTGATGCTCTTAAACTAGACACAGATTGCTATATAACTAATCTCAATCTTCTCAATACTCCGATACCCTCCACAATAGAAAAGGTAATGGACATATCATCACCAATCAGGGCAGAGCTGTACAAGATGAATATATACTGTACAGGAGGCCATTTTAAGAGTCATGTTGATACTCCTAGATCTAAAGACATGTTTGGTAGTCTTGTCGTGTGTCTCCCCTCACCTTTCACTGGAGGAGAACTGGTCACTCGTCATAACGGAAGACAAGTCACGTTTGATTGGTCCCGTGACTCCAATACTCTCATTCAATGGGGAGCATTCTTCTCTGATGTGGAGCATGAGGTTCTTCCTGTTGGATCGGGTCACAGGATCACACTCACTTATAACCTCTATTATCAAGAGACCAGCCCAACCATCAGATCATTTGATGTCACTTGTAATCTTTTCTATAAGGAGCTCCAAGCTGCTCTTCATAGTCCTCACTTCATGAGAGAGGGAGGCATACTCGGCTTTTACTCTCAACACTGGTACAATAATAAATCTCTTGCTAATACTAACACTAAAAAGTTTGCTAGATACCTCAAAGGACCTGATGCTCTTGTTTACTGTACAGCAAAATCACTTGGTCTTCATGTTGCTATTAAACCACTCGTCTGGAGATGGAGATATGGCCATGGTGATGATAATCGCATAGTAGCAAACAAGTTTCGTGGTTTTTTATTCGAACCTGAAGAAATTGATTATGAAGAAGATGAAGATTTTGATTTTTATCTCTTGTTTGATCCACATGTCAGTTTCAGAGAGATCACTTGGTGCCAATCAAAGCCTTTTTTGGATGAGATATCGGGATGTGCCACGTTTTATGATGGGAATGACACAACTGCTGAATTATATTGTCAAACAGCAGCACTGCTGATTTGTGTACCTCAGTATACCAGGGAACGCTCATCAGGTTCAGGAGCAACAAAATATCCGAGGGATAATTTGAGTGAAGCTATGAATATCTGTTTCCCCAAAGCACTCACAAAAAAAGGCACATGAAGTAATGGCTAGAACAAGAATATAAAAAGAACAACATCTACTCATTCATGCACATTCAGTTAAACTTGTTGTGTTGTTAATCTTGTTAATATAATTATAAAGTTATTGTTATGTATACAAAAAATAGATAATAAGTGATGGTATTGACCTTTAGTATTTAGTGAGCTGGAAAAGACCAAATTAAGCACACTAATTATTACTAAAATTTACTCCATCATTCTACCAATTTAATATAATAATTACACCAGTTTTTCTTATTGCCACTCCTACTGTACATTGTACAGTATAAAAGGGATTGGAATATATTTAGGGGCTGTGCATGCATATAGTGATAGTTTTGTTATAATGTGTAGTAATGTCCATTTAATTTCTCCACAGGATGAATCATAAAGAATAAAGAGTGTTTTATGTTTTTGCTGTATTCATTAAAGAAAGAGTATCAATACAAACCATCCAAATCAACAAAATTATATATTATTATAATGTTATTATTTCTTTAATTAAATTGATGGTATAAAAACAATCATATAATTATTAAGAATACAAAACTACAAATCGCTATAATTTATTAAAAATTGGCAAGTGGTTTTTATTTTATAACTTCTTTCTTCTCGTCTTTTTTCTTTTCAGCTATTTCAGGCTCTTTCCCTCTGCTTTTTGAGGTGTTGCACCTTTATCTTCTTTTTTCTTCTCAACTGATGCACTTTCTTTTCCTTCTGCTTTCTTGGACATATCATCATCAACTTTTTCTATTTTCTTTTCACCTGGCCCCTCCACTTGACCACTTTCTTTCTCTTTTTCTTCTACTTTCTTTGTTGGTTCTGCTTCAGCCTTTTCTTTTTCTTTGGGAGTTTCAGACAGTTTTTGATGCTCACTGTTGTACAAACTCATCAACTCTTCCTGTTATGTTACAAAGAGATGAAATAGATGAACATAATATGAATAATGAAGGTACATATGTGCATACATTCATGATGTATGATGTATACGTACTTCCCATCCAAGTCTCTTTGCCAATTCCTTCACTCCCTCATCACACGTACCTTGAAGGAACACATCTCTATTAACAAAATGAATATTATAATAATTTCTTTTTTTGTCTGTAGGACATTTATAAACCTGTATGCTTTATCACCAAAATCAAAACCAGCTCCACCCATGCCAAGCAACATCATGAGAGGATCAGCCTGTCACATTACATTATTGTAAGGTACCTTGTTACAGTGATGTCACTTACTTGCCCTTCACCAACTTTTTCGTAATTAATGAGCAAACGAGGACAATCTTCTCTAACTCTAAAAAAATGTGAATCAGTTCTTCATCTCTCCCTCTCCTTACTTGCTAGGAAGAGAAGCAAATGGTTGTACAGTAAGCGAAGTGCCCATTACAATCAGCAAGTCACACTTCTGAAGATCCTAATAATATTATTATAAATTAAACCATTGCAAAGTAATTATTACTAAAATGTATAATAATGACATATTTTCTTACTTTACTGGCAAGTTCACCAAATCTTTTAGGCAGAGCTTCACCAAAGAAAACAATATCTAAAGAACAAGATTATTAATTATACAGTGAATGCAATCAATCATTAATGCATACCTGGTTTAACTATTCCTTTGTATGCCTCTCCTTCTTCTGTTGGCTCATAGGCACAATCAGTTTCAGTACAGAGTGGTATTTTATCAGCAAACACTTGCTCTATATGGAATTATTATTTCTAATAATAATATTATTATTTCTATTATAGCATACTGTGTAATAACAGTGCATGGATATGTAAACAATGATACAGCAAGATATGGTAGTACAGTTGAGTGTATATGCATATGGAGAGTAATGTATATTTCATAGTAGTACTAGTACCTTTCACATATTCATGTGGATATTCTTTGCCACAGGTAATGCAATGAGCAAGGTGAAAAGCTCCATGAGCCTCCACAAGATGCTCATCAGCTATTCCAGCTCTTCGTTCAAGAGTATCAATATTCTAAAATAATAAATTTTGATTCTTACTCTCTCTCTCTCTTTCCCTCTCATACCTGTGTGTAGCTCCTCAACAAAAGTCCCTTTGTTTCCAGGAGTCGAATGAAATAGTGACAAAGTGTTGGCTACAAGTGTACAGGTAATACATATACATGAGTGATGTGTGTTACGTATTGTGTATAATGTGTGGAGTAGTATATTATAGTCTAACTTTACTTTGAAATTCCCTGGATACATTTCTTTAGCAAGGTGAAAGAATGGCTTAGGATTCATCTAAATAAATATTTTAAATCAGTTATTAGAAGACAAGAAAGATGAGAGAGGAGAGGAGAGTGCTGGAGAACATACTGGAAAGTATGATATGTCAAATATTGACTGTGGACTAGGCAGGTTGTACTTCTGTAGGTTGTCATAAAGTCCAGTGCCTGGTGTACGGAAATCAGGAATACCTGCAGCTGTAATAGTACAGTATGAATATATTAGCTGATACTGCAATACTAACCAGTTGATATTCCTGCCCCAGTCATTACGATGATCCTGTTAGCTATTGTGAGATTAGTGTAAATGACAATGACACGTATTGAGGCTCACCATCATTAGATGCTGCTAGTTTCTGTATGTGTTTGACTATGCCATCAAGTGTAACCTCATCCAAAACTTTGGGTCTTATTTCCTGGCTTCTATCCTGCTCCAATTCCAGTCTTCTGAGAGCATTCAGGAAAGCTGCTTCTTCTGCCATATCTGGGACCACGCCTTGTTTTGTGACTACGCCCAATCGCCCATACAACTTACCCACGTGCTACCACGTGGATAGATAATTGTTTTGTTGAGTTCACAATAATACTAAGGATTTTAAAATTGATGTCATAATAATGCTTGTTATTAACGCTATTCTCAAGGTAATTACTATACTATTATTATTATTGTTATTATTATTATTATAGCTTTATTTTTTGGCCACTTTCAGCTCGTTTTATCTTTAACGGTGTCGTTTCCCATCCACAGAGTCGAACAAATATCACCAAACTCCTTCAAGACCTAAAGAACAGTCCAAAAAGTAAGCACACATCACACAAAGTATTATTAACAAGTTCTTATACATAAACTGCACTAATTCTGGAATTATCATTTATGCAATATCATATCAATATCAAGATCATGAAATATCATTTATGCTTCAAAGCAACTGCATACTTGACTTGAAACCACACCTAAACTTGGATTAACCACACCTACTTACAGTGTCCAGCATCTCCCTGGTGTGTGCAGCCGAGAGGCAGATTCTTATTCTCCCTTCAACTATTGAAGTGGCTGGATAGCCCACGCCCACCACGGCTATCTTCTTTTCACGCAGTTTCCTCGATATTGCTCTAAAATAAAAGATATTTAGTATGTACAGTAAGTAATACCAAGAGTACATAATATAAAGGTATTATTTTTAGGTATTATGTACAGTAAGTAACACTATTGAATTGTTTTAATTAAGACTCACTGTATTCTTCCTGGCTGATATACAATGATGGGCACAACAGGTGAGTCATCATTACCATATACTGTGAACTTCATCTCCTTCAAGCGTTTCCTGAAATACCTGCAAGGACAAGTATAGGTTTAAAAAATTTAAATAAGATTGAGCCTGTCTATTATTATTTTACCTGGTATTTTCAATCAATTGAGTGACACGTTTTTGCCCTAATAAAAGAAAATAATAATAGAAAATAAAATATTAAGGTATAAAAAAAATCAAATGGGCACTATCCATTCACTTGCACATGCAGTTTGTCACCACTCAAGCCCCTCCCATACCTTCATTGGTTCCATCCTCTCCCATTATTATTTTCATTGATGTTAGGATCTGTAGTGCAACCGGTGCACTCATTGCTGATGCATATATAGCAGCATGGGAGTGGCTACGAAGATGATTAATGATGTCCTATTGAAAAATTAAAGACAAATATAATGCGAGTTTAAATAAAGACAAGTTACACCAGGGGTGGACTCCTGCTTACAGATAAGTTACACTTAATTATTTGCAATATTTCATTTCTAATCAAGACCCACCTCAGTAGCAGCAATATAGCCACCGCATCCACCGAAACTCTTGGTAAATGTTCCCATCATTATATCGACATCCGCAGGATCAACACCTAAGTACTCAGTGACTCCACGACCAGTGGGACCCATAGCTCCAATACTATGAGCCTCATCAAGATACAAGTATGCCTAGTTGTAAAGATTGCATGATACATTTTGTTGGTATTTAGTAATTGTATTCATATATTTTTGCAGGGGTACGTTAGCTAAATTTGTAATGAATTAGGGTACTTTATGAAATGACTAGGAGAGAATTCTATAATTTTTTTAATGCATATTGATGTACTTATGCAATGTAGAAAGTTTGAGCCAATTCTGACTTCAATTTTTTGAGTAATGACCATTTTTAAAAATATGCCAAAATCTGAAAAATACCCTGTACTATATAGCCCATGGTTTTTTCCAAAAAATGGCTCCGAAATCACCTCCAATTTTTATTACATTTTCTGATACATATTGATGTACTTATGCTATGTACAAAGTTTGAGCCGATTCCGACTTAACTTTTTTGAGTAATGATCTTTTAAAAATATGCCAAAATCTGAAAAATACCCTGTACTATAAGCAGTACAGGGTATTAATTGTCAAAAATAGCTATGAAAGATTTCTCATTTCTGATATCCATACGTAGAAAGTTGAGTCAATAACTTGTAGCAACTACATGTAGGTGACAAGGGCCAGTAAATATTGGCTGCAGAAGTTGTAAATAAAGACACCAAGAGTAAATACAATAATGATATTTCTGTATGACTGATGAGTCTAGCATTATAGCATGCAATGTACATGTGTGTCAATGTGATACACTTTTATCCGTTATACCAGACACTTTAACAAGTAAAGGGGCTAGCCATTATGGATACCTTGTATTTCTTTTTTAGTTCTATAATCTCGTGTAGCCTTGGCACAGATCCTTCCATACTACATAAAAAAATAATTATATATAGCATCCATTAAAAAATATATATCTATTAATTTTACCTGTATATTCCTTCAACAATGATTAGTATTTTCTTCCATGGACGGTGTGTTCTTGGTTGTCCTTTGACAATGGCTTCTCTCAATAGATACTCAAGAGACTCGATATCTTTAGGAAAGAGAACAAGGTTAGAAAAATACTTAAACTATTTATTATAAAGGCAAACTGCATATGTGTATTCAGAGATGCATATAACCTCTCTCCCAATTTGATAATCAGAGTATCACACATACCACATTTATATATATATCATAATGTACAGAACATGTCAATCTAATTATTAATAGAGTATCTACAGACACATCATTAACACCTCATAACTAAAGTCATTATGCTATATAAAGGTATGTTCATTACTCCTACTATAGCAAAAGTCTTGTAATAAATATAAAATTACAAAAGAGCTGACCATTATGCTTGAAAACTCTAATCGTTGCTCCTGAGAGCTTAGCCCCTGTAACAACTGAAGCATGATTCAGCGCATCACTTAGTATCAAGCATCCCTATAGATATAGTGAAAGAGAGATATAGTGAAAGAGAGAGAGGACTCTTTTATTCAATAAAGAACCAGCTAATAACAATTAGCATTCCATGCATAAACTATGATATAATTGTGGTTAATCCTCATTATCATCACCATACCTTTTCAACAAGGGCTGGTATGTTAGTTGAATTTGTGCTGAATCCCATTCCAAAAACTATTGCTGCTGCCTTCCTCACAAACTCTGCAACTTTTTCCTCCAAATCCTGTATACATTGTAGTGTCCCTACACACAAACGATTGACATGAAATCTCTCTCCTTTACCCACAGTACATAATTGCCTTTGTGCAATGAGTATTACATGTATAATAGCATTACTAAAAAAACATTTTCATTTCAGGAATCACCCTGTCTCTTCTCCTCCTCTTTAAAAATCATGAGCCCAAAGATCAGAGACACAAGAATAACAATGTGTCACTAGTGGTTATGCTGAACATACAATATATACCAAAGCTGACACAATCTCTCATAAATAAACAATAAAAGAGAATGCGTTACTGCCTCTTATATAACCATCATTACCCAAGTCGACTCTTGAGCTGTTTGTCCCGGCTCCATATTCATGTATCGACTGTATGGCTGCATCAGCACAGGGGCCTTTCTCCTCGGCGAAACCAAGGTAATTATAGGAGCCAAGGTTTAAGCATCTGGTCTTTGTGCCCACGTTTCTAAGAGAGGAGACACGTTGACAAAATGTTATCACATCTAATAGTAACATGATACTAACAAGTCATTGACCCTCTTTATCATGATCTCTCTCTCTCTCTCTTTTGCATTTACTTGAAGGTCCAGTTAAAGTCATCGCTCTTCCTGTCCACCAGATCAATATAAGCTCCAGGGACTCCACAGACCGGTCTATTGAAGCAGTCTCTCATTCTCCTGTACACGTTACGAGTGTAAAATCCGGTCCATTCCATCTTTAACTTGAAGAGATCCTGTAAAAAATTTTAAAAATCTAACCACAAGTTATGATATGACAATAATTTTTTGGCACATGGTATGTTTTGGACTTCATAATAGGCTCAAATAGCAAACTGTGGTAAGTTTTTTTCTATAACAAAATAATTATGATGGCGCTAATCAATTCAATTTTTGTCACCCCAGATCAGGTCACCTCTCCTCGCTCGCTCTATTTTCTTACATCTTTGCAGGTGGCCTCTCCGTGTCCGTCTTTTATGAGTCCTATTTGTCTCAGGGCGTCCCATATGTAGCCCCAGAAGATCATAAGAGCGTAGCTGAAGTACGTTGTGATGGCCCGATCAAGAGGGACTTGGTCAAAAGTCTCTTTGTGCTGTGGCTTCTTGCTTTTGGCTGTGATCTTCTCAGTTGTACCGTTTGGAACGTGACCATTGCTCCTGGAGGCGACAGCAACCGGCTTCTTCTCTCTCGGCATTTTCAAATTTGTTCCAGACTTCCAGTGACCAGTGAGATGAAATGTCAGGCCACTTTTCTATGAAGCACCCACCCACTCTTTAGCTGCGAATTTCTAATGAGCCACGCCCTACTTGTTTGCAGCTATAGCCCAGCTACGCCCTGTTGCTGTCTTTGGGGCGAGACCACTCTGTAAAGGCGAGAGGTTTTTCTTTGCAAATAAGAGTTTAAAAGGTAAAAGAAGACTGATTTTGGCTAGGAAGAGACTTGCAGTGCCTTACTTTGCACAATGGCACTGGGCTACGGTCTTGGTTCGTTGTTATTAGTCGCACTATTTCACTCTGTCTCGTCTCAGTCCATTGCTGAGTTCCCCCAAGCAGTTTCAATTTCTTTAAACAAACCCATCACTGCCTCTTCAACCTGCGGAGTGACTACTGAGCAGGAATACTGCCAATATGCTATTAGCCTTGAAGACTCCATAGAGCCAAATTGCATGAGCTCAGTCTGCAATGATACTTGCACATTCTCCAGCACTTCACCTGTCCCCCAGGATCTCCCTATGCTAGGAACCTATGGAAGTGGAGTAACAGACGTATCAGGGCGTAGTGGCTCTGACTCTGCCATCAAATTTGCCAACTCTTTCATTTCAATACCTTCGTCAAACATTTCCCAGTTTGGAGGGAATGGGTTTACATTTGCATCATGGATAAAGCAAGACTCTGGCAACACTGGGTATGTAATTAATCCTAATTTTTGATGCATTGCTATATTTTTTATTATTATTAATATTAGGTCTCTTATCTCAAAATCAATATCAGATGGCACTGATAGGACTTATGCAATATCAATCACGGAATCAAGTCTGACATTCAACTATCATCCAAACACCCTCATCTCCGGCTACTCAACGCTGACTGTCACTGATTCTGTTGATCTCTCGTCTGATTACTGGCATCACATAGCAGTCACTGTCTATCAGAATGACTTTGCATTCTATATCAATGGGAGCATTGTTAATGCAACTGGATTGGTCAGCTCTATTACTGATTCTACTAACACTGTATATCTAGGACAAATAGCTCCAGGTACATACAAAGCTTCCATTATGATTATTATTGTATCATCATTATTTATCACTTTTTATAAAAAGGAACTTACGTTTTATATTTTTGTAGGCATGCAGGCTTTTAATGGGCTCATGCAAGATGTATATTTCTATTCTCAAGCTCTCACTGAAAGGTTTGGTGTCTTTGCATAGTAAATCATTGCGGTGGTCTTGTTTCTAATTATAGGGAAGTACAGGAACTAGTAACTGATAATTTCCCATATCTGCACTTGAGTACAGACTGTCGCTGCCCATCTTCACATCCTGTCATCAATAGCCTAAGCTTAGACAGATGCATACAACACACAGGTGACTCTAAAATGTACTTTACATTACTAACGAATAACGATGTCTTGCTTTATAGGTGTTACGACTGGGCGTGGCTCCGTTGTTCGTATCAATGCAAACTCTCATCCGGCTGGCTATGCAAACGATAATATTTACGTGACTAGTTGGATCTCGGCTATTGATGAGAGAGAGGTTAACATGACTATGTCCCTTGTTCAAGGCTCAGCGTCAGCCTATGAGGTTAGAGACTGATTATAGATATACTGGATTATTTTTTATTTTTTAGTTAATATTTGTCTTTATCACCTACGGCGCTCCTGCCCCTAAAGCTGCCATATTACAAAAGTCAATTGATGGAGGACAGTCTTTCGTACCAATGCAGTACATGGCCGATGACTGTCCCTCTTATTTTGGCATTGCTAATGACCAGCCTTTGACCTATCCTGATGACGTTAATTGTATTACTTCATATTCAAGGTACTATGCAAGTTTTAATGTGAAAAGTGCATATTTTTATTTTTTTCTATTTTTTATTTTTAGTCGAACTCCAATCAATGATGCCGCAGTTCGACTCAGATTCCTTAATCCTCAAGTTCGTCCTGGTAATATTAACAACGATCCTGAGCTACAGGATTTTGTGACGGCTGATCACCTCCAGATCTCTCTCCTTGATTTCTTCACCGATAACACGACGGCCAGTCATCGCTATTATGATATAGTAGAGATAACTGTGGCAGCAAGGTTTGTTCATAATTATTAATACAAGGGAATTATTTTTTTGTTTCTGTCGCTAGGTGCGCTTGCTATGGACATGCATCAAGATGCTCTAATGACTTGCAATCAATTTGTGAATGTGTCCATAACACACAAGGGGATAGAGTAAGTAGTACAGTACACTTGAAAGTACATACAGTACATCTCAAGCAGTATCATAGTGAGTCTATGGCTATTATTACTCTTTCTCTCCAATGCACAGTGCAACGAGTGCCTGCCTTTATATAATAACAAGCCGTGGAGAAGAGGCATATCAACTCAAGCAAATCCTTGCATAATATGCAACTGTAACAATCATGCCAACTCCTGTGTTTATAATGCAACGCTTGATCCGTTCCCTGATAGCTTTGATTCAGGAGGTGGAGGTGTCTGTACCAACTGTCAAGATAATACAGGTATTGGTTACATCATTACATTATCCACTCCTTATATTTAATGGTGCTTACTTTCCAGAGGGCAGATATTGTGAGTCTTGCTCTGACGGTTACTACAGACCGGCAGGAGTCTCACCGTCCAATAGCAGTCCTTGTACACCTTGTAACTGTCACTCCACTGGTTCCACTGGACCTGTCTGTATAAAGGTATGGAGTAGTGCTATAAGTGTCTAATAATCCTGTAAAAGTACCAAATACAATTTGGCTATTCATTGATTGTGTTCTCAACAGGATTTTAATGGCATTCATGCTCTCTCTGTGGGTCAGATATGCCGTAAATATTATTTATATATTATTATGTAGTGGGAATGATAGTTTATTCATAGGCTCCTGTGTGTACATCCATTGACAAATAATACATTTATTTATTGTATCAATAGGCCGAGGGGATACCTGGTGAAGTGGTTGGACAGTGTCCTTGCAGAGATAACGTGAGAGGGAGGGCTTGCGATGAGTGTGCCGATGGCTTCTTTAATTTAACTGCTGGCTGCCAGTCATGCCATTGCAATACTGATGGTAAGCAATTAGCACACACTAATTATAGCTAATATTGAATTTGAGAAGCATGACGATTGCTATTACTGGATATTACTATTGCTATTACATCAATCAGTTGGAATAATGTGATTTCATTGTTTGTCACGAAATCTGTGACAAGCAAAAACTCATTTGTTCCATTGTCACGAAATCTGTGACAAGCAAAACCCATTGGTACTTTGGCCCAGCTCCAACTTTCTACACAACATATTATCATAAATTCAATTTATATTTCTTTTAAAGGAACAATTGGTGGTTCTATTTCGTGCAATGAGAACACTGGGAAGTGCTCGTGTAAACTGAACGTCGAGGGACTTAGGTGTGATCAATGCGTTAATGGTACACAAGGTCTCAGCAGTACTGATCCCAATGGCTGTTCTCCTTGCACCTGTAATGCAACTGGATCAATACAGGGATCTACCTGTAACCCTGAAACTGGTAGGTGCAGCTGCAAACCAGGAGTGACTGGCCCTGCTTGTGATACTTGTCTTGATGAGTTTCACAGTTTCTCTTCCTCTGGCTGTCAGTCTTGCACTTGCTTTGTATCAGGAGCTGTCAATAACTCCTGCAGCTCTACTGGAATCTGTACTTGTTTGCCTGGCTTTACTGGCGACCTCTGTGATAGCTGCTCTACTGGATACTACAATAGCTCTGGGTCTTGCCTACCTTGTGACTGTAACCCTCCTGGAACAATTAGTGAGGAATTGAATCAATGCAATGAAACCAATGGACAATGTTCTTGTAAAGAGAATGTGCAAGGAAGAGCATGTGATACTTGTATCTCAGGCTACACTAACCTCCAAGGATCAAACTCCCTTGGATGCAGTCCTTGTGATTGCGTATTGGGTAACACCCAGTCTCTTGAATGTGACCCGGTCTCCTCCCAGTGTCCCTGTCTCTCGTATGCAACTGGACTGAGTTGTGATATATGTCAAGATGGTTTCTTTCCTAATTCGTCATCCTCTGGTACTTGTATGCCTTGTGGTTGCAGTGAACAAGGATCTCTTAATTCAACCTGTAATGATGATGGACAGTGCTACTGCAATGGATTCACTAGTGGCAGAACATGCAGCTCTTGTGGGGTTGGTCAATATGGCTTTCCCAAGTAAGAAATCATATCTTTATTTATTTATTTATATTTTTTCATAATAGTTGTCAAAATTGTCAGTGTAATTCCACTGGTAGTCTTGATTCAGTTTGCAATGTCACCAATGGAGAGTGTCACTGCAAGTCTTTCGTAACTGGCATGAACTGTGATACATGTCGCAGTGGCTATCAACTCCTTCAAGCTGGTAATCCTTTTGGATGCTCAAAAGGTATAATAAATTAATGATAAGATTAATATCGAGCATTAAAAATATTATTATTTTTATTCTTGCAGCTCCTGAAGGTCAAAACCCACCTACACTCCAATCAAGGACGTCAATCTCAATAGACATAGCCTGGAGTCCTCCTGAGCAACCCAATGGGGTCATCAACCAGTACAAACTATACAGGAACAATACTCTAATTGCCACACTATCCGAATCAACCAGACACTACAATGACACTGGACTCACCCCTCACACTACATACAGCTATCAAGTGGAAGCTTCTAATGTTATTGACTCTATTAGGAGCATTGGATTTACTATCCAGACACTTCAAGCTGCTCCACAAGAAGTGAATCCGCCTTCCTTTGTAGTACTGAATGCAACAGCAGTCCAAGCACAATGGCAAGCACCTAACATCAGTAATGGAGTCATCATAGAATATAGACTGATACTTACTGCAGTGGATGGTGAAACATTGGAATCACCAATGAACCAGTTCACTGGATTAGATTTTAGTGCTGTAATTGATGGATTGGGCTCGTATAGTCTTAATTCATTTGTACTTGAGGCTTGTACATCAGCCAATTGTGGTACTAGTGATCCTGTGAGTGTCAGAACTGGAGAAGCTCCACCTGATTTTCAACCACCTCCAAATATTAATGCAATAAATTCTACAAGTCTTAATGTATCCTGGAATGCACCCTCACAGCCAAATGGAATCATTATTAGGTACGAGGTCCGTCAGCGTGTCTCTCCATTCTCTGATGATGGGGTACTGATCAGAACCATTGCTCCTCCATTAATGACATCAGTGGTTGTTAGTGGGTTGGATCCATTCATTTCTTATCAGTACAGTATACTGAGTTATACTAGTGCTGGTGGAACACAGAGTGATTGGAATGAGGGAACAACAAGTGAAGAAGGTCAGTTGCATTGCTACAAGCATAACACCTTTGCAATTATTATTTTTACTTTTTTAGAACCTGAAGATATTGTAGATCCTGTGGCATTTGTTCTCAGTTCTACTGAGATAGAAATCAGTTGGAAGTCTCCAGCCACTCCCAATGGGAACATAACACAATATCAATTGTTCATTAGATTCTCAAATGGATCCACTTCAAGTCTACATAATGATACACAGCCAGGATCATACAATGTATCTGGACTCTCTCCATTCACTCAATACCAATTCTACATACTTGTGTGTAACAGTGCAGGCTGCACGTCCAGTAACTTAATAGCAAGCACTACACTTGATAGTGGTAAGTATATAGCTGACTTATAATGTAATACATTATCTATCTCTTTTCTTTCAAACAGTACCACAGGGTTTAAGTCCACTAGTCATTGAAGTAGGAGAGTTTATAAGTATAACACTGAGTCCTCCTGCAGTCCCTAATGGTGCTATTATTGCATATAACATCACCAGAAGAAGGCCCAGTTTGCTTCCTTCTCCTCTTGACAGAGACCTTGGCATATCTTTCCATGGGACTGGCTATTCAGAGTTCTCTCCTAATTTTGATGGCCTTTCAGGTGCCTCAACAATCATTACAATGATGTTTAAGACCAGTCAACCAAATGGACTCCTCGCATATTCCATTGATGCAGCCAAGTCTGACATATTGGCCATTGAGCTCCGAGGGGGAGTTCCCTGGTTTGTGTTTGATATGGGAACAGGTCCGGCTGCCATAAGGATAAACGAAAATATCACATTCAATGATGGACAGTGGCACAAGCTAGTTGCAAGGAGGACCGGTAGGAGTGGTGCTATAACACTGGATGATACATACACTAGCTCTGGTGACTCCATTGGCTCACACACTTTCCTTGGACAGCCACAAGTGTTTTACATTGGAGGAGTACCCAGTAATGCAGCACTTACCTCTATTAATGGCCAACTGAATCCTAATGCTACTCTTGATGGGAGTAGCTTCATTGGCTGTCTTCATGGAGTGAAGGTTGCAACAACAAATTCTGAGAATATTCTAGACTTTACTGAGCAAATAGGCGGCACTGGTGTAAGCTCTTCCGGCTGCCCTATTAATATAGAGGAAGGACCAGTTTCATTCACTGGCAGTGGCTTCCTTGCTACAACTGGCCTTGCTTCACCTGGGTCCTCTTCATTCACTCTCTCTCTGTCATTCAGGACAAGATCCACATCTGGGCTATTGCTATTTGCCTATGGAGTTGACAGTCACATAGTAATCGAGCTAAAGAGCTCTGATGTTGTGCTAAGACTTAAGGGAACAGGAATGAGTGAGATTATGGCATCAACAGATGGAATCTCTCTTCCACAGGAGCTCTGCAATGGACGGTGGCATACTATTCAGTTATCTAAAGAGTCTGATGGAGTTATCATGAATATTGACGGTGTCCTTGTCTCAAAAGCGTTCCCAAGTCTCAGTCTTGATCTATCTTCCCATTTATATGTAGGTGGTGTCTCCATACCGTCAGCTGCTTATAGCGTGTACACTAGCAGAGTAACCAGTGATCCTCTCTACCTTTTCAGTGGCTGCTTAAGAAATGTCATATTTAATGATAATTCCATTAACTTGAATGATTTTGAAAGCCAGAAAGATACTAGTTTTTTGGGTTGTGAGTATTCTACTGGCTCTGTAATGCCTTCTTGTGAACAAGATACTGTAGTCTTCACCAGGTCTGCTGAGTCTACTGAATTCAATGATTCGACTATCAATGCTTTTACTGGTAAGACATAATAAGCAATTGAATATATACATGTAAGTGTATGCTTCATTTTTCTGTATAGAGTACATTTATCAAGTTAGTGTTGGTAATTCTGCTGGGAATTCTTTCAGTGGCTGGGTTGCTGTTGTATCAGAAGGATCAGGTAAAAATTTTTAAAGTTTATACTGTAAAAATATTAGTAGCAAAAGGATTGTGTTAGATTTTAAAACTTAACAGCAAAAAAAGAAAGTCATCTTTATGTAAAATTGCTTGCAAAAAAAAAAAGAAAAAAAATTATAAGTTCCCATACCGGGAGTCGAACCCGGGCCGCCTGGGTGAAAACCAGGAATCCTAACCGCTAGACCATATGGGATGCTTACATGCTTGAGGTTGAAATAACAAATCTTTTTATATCTGATTCATTGATATAGCTCCACAAGGTGTACCCTCCCCTGCTGTGAAAGAGGCAGAGAGATCTTCTTCGACACTTTCAGTTGCATGGGAGAGGCCCAGCACTCCAAACGGACTCCTCATTCGCTATGACATCACGGCATCACCTATCCCCCAGTCTATAAATAGGAAGAAAAGGAACAGCCCGTCTATGGTCACAGTTAACATTATTGCTCCCAATCAGACGCTAGAAGCAGTCATAACAGGATTATCCCCAGCTACCAATTACTCCCTCGCACTCACAGCCTTCACTGATTTTGGCTCCTACACTGGCCCAGTTGCATATGGACACACACTTGAGGATGGTAAGTTTAGACTAGTTAGCTATAGTACATACTTTTACAAGCCCAATGCAGAAAACTGTCAAAAAAGAATATTTTGATTTTTGTTTGGGGCCTCAAGGCCCTCAATACTTTAGTGCAATAATGCATGTATAAAGTTAAGAAATACACACAATTCTCACCCACCCTATTAATCTATGTCCTAATTAACTAGTGCAAATTAATTAATGCTCTCTAATATTTTGCTTCTCTCTCTTTTTTCTTAATCTTTAGTACCAGATGGTGTTCTACCTCCAGTAGTCACTGTTTATAGTTCTACCTCATTCCAATTCAGTGTATCCCCTCCTACACAACCAAACGGAATCATCATACTGTACAGGATCTATGTCGGTAATGATCTTGTCCTATCATTCCCTCCCTCTCAGGAAACTATCATAGCTAGCAACCTCTCTCCATTCACTAACTACACTCTTCAACTAGAGGCTTGTACTGCTGTAGGTTGTGCCAATAGCTCTGACATTGGCACTGCTATGACCCTCAGTTCAGCTCCTGCTGGACTAACCGCGCCTTCTCTTACAGCTCTTAGTCCGACCAGCATTGAAGCAACGTGGGAACCTCCCCTTTATCCCAATGGAATCATACTCTATTATACTTTAGTGCTGACGTCTGATAACAGTGTATTATTTAATGGCACTGATACTCGAGCTACTCTTACAGGCTTGTCTCCCAATACTGTTTATAGCTACAAAGTGACTGCTCATAACATTGCTGGATCTGTCAGTAGCAATGTCTCCAGTGTATTGACACTTGAAGACGTACCTGATCAGATACGTCCACCTATTGTGACTGTCCTTAGTGCTCGCTCTCTTAATGTCTCATGGCAAGAACCTTTACAGCCAAATGGGAACATAATCAATTACACGTTATTGTTAGACAGAGATCCTGTATTCTCTGGGCTTCAGTTTCAATATACTTTAAATGATCTTCAACCTTATACACAGTATGAGGTATCAATACAAGCATGCACTGCCAAAGGCTGCAGTGAGAGCAGTAGAGTCTATCAAACTACACCCGAGGCACCTCCAGAAGGCTTTAATCCTCCTACAATAACTTCAGTTACTTCTAATTCTTTTACAGTTCTCATTAGCGAAGTGAGCAGTCCTAATGGTCTTGTGTACTATGGTCTGAATGTAACTGGAGAGTTTCGATTGGATTCTGTGGAGCATCAGAGTTCTTATGAGACTCGTTTGGTTTTCAATAGCACTATGATTGGAGAGAGTGTTGTTGTATCGGATCTCCTTCCTTTTACTGAGTATGACCTGGTGGTTGTTATTGTTAATGTTGCTGGTGATCTAATTGGGGATGCTGTCAATGTTACCACTGAATCAGCAGGTCAGTAATACCATTATTATGATGATTTTATTATCATTATTTGCTGTAGTTCATAAATTATTTATGTATATTTGTTTTTATAGTGCCCGAGAATCAAGGCCCTCCGTCTCTTTCTCTCATTTCTCCAACAACTATCAGGGTCTCGTGGTCGCCTCCTCTTTATCCCAATGGACTATTAACTAACTATACACTGATACTCACACCTTTATCTGGTGGTTCTACACTATCAAACACATACCCATCCTCTGATAGTCTCACTGCTGATATCAGTGATTTATTACCATTCACTAACTACAGTGTTAGCATACAGTCTAATAATACCATTGGGGGCAGCAATTTGAGTGATATCAGTATCATCCTCACTGGAGAAATAGGTTTGTATTTCTTGATTGAATTATTGTTTATAATCATATGAAATAACAATTGCTATCCCCTTTTTGAGCCAAGTTTTCCCACAAAGCATGCTAAGTAAGCTAAGTGGTATGCTTAATGAGTTGACAAGTACTACAATACATTTGTAGCAACTTTAGCTCGATTTTTGAGCAACTTTAAAAATTCATAAAAAATCCAAATATGATCGGAGTTAGCTCAAACTTGATACAAGGCATAAGAACATGTATATGTATAAGAAAAAAATCATAAAAATGGGGAATTCTCTCCTAGTCATTTTTGGTGAAATTTGGCCAACGACCCTGTACTATAGTACAGGGACTTTAGCTCGATTTTTGAGTAACTTTAAAAATTCATAAAAAATCCAAATATGATCAGAATCAGCTCAAACTTGATACACAGCCTAAGAACATGTATATGCATAAGAAAATATTATAAAAATGGAGAATTCTCTCCTAGTCATTTTTGGTGAAATTTGGCCAATGACCATTACCAAGAGTACATTATGTACTCTTGCCGTTACAAGCTAAACAGCATGCCTACTGCACCAAAACTCTGTGGGTTAAACTATACAGTCTGACTGCTGTACAAATATTTGTGTATGCCTTTTTAGCATTAATTTCCAACTCTTTTTCTCATATAGCTCCAGCTGAGTTTGATCATCCCACTGTTCTATCAAAGACTCCATATTCACTATACATATCTTGGGATCCACCCACTAGTCCTAATGGACGCATACTCAACTACACTATAGAGCTCAGTGGATCAGAGACAGTAGATACTCTATTCGTCAACAGTGAAACCCAATTGGTCTACAATATAACTCAATTGAGCCCGTATACAGTATATAATTTCAGTGTCACTGCATGTAACAGTGCTGGCTGTATTGACAGTCCTTTCTTTGAAGACATTACTGGTGAAGCAGGTAAAACAAATACTGTACTTATCACATCCATTTTATTTCTTTTTTGCTTCCTTTAGCTCCACTGGATGTCCCTCCTCCTACGCTGGTAGCCACCACAACAGGTTTTGTTATAATTAGATGGAGTGAGCCAGGTCAGCCTAATGGAGTCATTAATGAGTACACAATATACAAAGCATTGCTCAACTCATCGTTCTCTTCACTGGCCACTGTGGAGTTTAATGAGACATTCTATTATGAGGACTCTGATGTTATGCCGTATACAAGATACCAGTATTATATTGAGGCTACTAATAATGCTGGCTCAACTGCTAGTCAGCCAAGAACAGTCACTACTGCTGAAGCAGGTTAGTAGTATGCTCTATTAAAACCTGTACATGTACAGTCATATATTAATTTATACTTTATTTGTTTATTGCCTTTTTTAGTTCCTGAGAATGTCCCAGCTCCTGATCTTGAGCCTCTCTCCTCGTCCTCTATTCTCCTAACAATCTACCCACCAGGCACTCCTAATGGTGTCATCAATGAATACCGTGTAACCAGACAATGGGGACTATCACTACAGCATACCTTTACAATATCAGTCAATGATGTATCAGTCATAAATTACACTGATACATCACTCACTCCTTATACTAACTACTCATACACTGTAATGGCTTGTAATGGTATTGACTGTGCTACTGGTCCTTCTGCTGCTGCCCTCACACTTGAGGCCCCTCCGACAGAAGTACTCCCTCCATCCACTAGCCTTGTCGGTGATGAATACTCAATTTCTGTTACTTGGATGGAGCCTGCTCAGCCTAATGGAGTGCTTATTGAATACAGGATCATTAGATCAGAGCTAGGATTTGAGGCAATGGTAGCTGGCCAGTCAAACTGTTGCAATGATTATGTTACTAATGGTGCTTTGGGCAATAACTGCACTGTAGTCTCACAGGTGTCTCCTCCATCAACTAGCCTTACTGATCTTGAGTTATCTCCTTACTCTTATTACCAGTATTGTGTCATTGCTGCTACTAATGGTGGATCCACTCCTAGTAATTATTCGTCTCCTCTCAGAACAGCAGCTGCTATGCAGCCGCTAACTGGTCCTACCCCAACCGCCATTCCTTTAAATGCAACGTCTATACATGTCTCATGGTCTCCTTTGAGTGTTGATCTGCTATTGGGCCAATTAGAGGGTTACTCGTTAACTTATTATAGCGATGGTGGTGAGGCTCTGACAGTAGATGACATTGAAGATGAAAGTTATACAATCACTGGACTGGCTGCCAGCACACTTTATTATATATCAGTCAGTTTCATTATTTATTTTATTGAGACATTTTAATGCTTCCATCTTTCTTCCCTTCAGGTCAATGCCAGTAATGGACAAGGCACTACCTCTGGGCCTACCATCAGTGTAACCACATTGGATGGAAGTAATTAGAACTCATTCTCTTTTATTTATTTATACTATTATTGTTCATAGGACCAGCTGGCGTTATCCCTCCTATTGTGATATCACTCAATGCTACCAGTTTAATTATTTATTTTAATGAACCTCAGACACCTAATGGAAACATCATTCTATACTCTGTGATACTGTAAGATTGCTCTATGTAGACATTTATTTATTTTATCATTATCTTCTTCATCTCTTTTTTCACACAGTAATAGTGTTGCTATACATAACCAGTCATATCCAGGCAGTGTGACAGTGACTGGTTTAAAGCCATACACAGTCTACACTGCACAACTTGAGGTCTGTACTTCATTTGGTTGCAATGAGAGCAGCCTCTCTAGTAACAGGACTCTTGAAGCAGGTAAGTAATGGAAGATGACGTGTAAAAATTGTTCCTTGTTTATCTTTTGTTATTTCTTATATAGCTCCTGTTGGTTTTGCATCTCCAGTTGTTACTGTATTGGATCCTTACTCTGCTTTCATTTCGTGGAGTAAGTTATACAAACTTGCATGTATACACAATCAAGAGCACATTATCTACTCTTGACTCAATGTACATGTACTTGATATTGCATTTCATTTTTATTTCTAATCTTCTACTGTAGGTCACCCGCTACAAGAGAATGGTATAGTGACGGAGTATCAAGTCTACCGGAGGATCAGTGTACCTTGTTCTAATGGTAACACTGGTACTTGTTACAATAGTACACTCCTAGTTACTGAAGACAGACAATCGATCAATTATACTGCAACTGGCCTGACTCCTGCCACTCAGTATGGTTTCTCCATAACAGCAGTCAACGGAGGAGGGAGTACTACTAGTGGGTTCACTACAGTCACTACCGATGAAGCTCCTCCTTCCTTTGTTCTTGCTCCAACAGTGAGTCCAGTATCATCCAGTGAGCTGCTAGTAACGTGGGTAGCTCCCCCTGAGTCTAACGGCGTCATTACTTCTTATTCTCTTTTTATTGATGGTGTGCTTGAGTTTGGGCCCTCTCTGTCCCTCTCTTACGCTGCCTCTTCTCTTGATCCATATTCCCTATATTCATTCACTGTACAAGCTTGTACTAGTCCTGGGTGTACTAACAGTTCCGTCTCCACTGGTAGGACTCTCGAGGCTCCACCTACTGGTTTTGATGATCCAGTAATATTAGAGACAGCCTCAGATTCTTTCCTTCTCTCTTGGTTGCCTCCTAGCGATCTCAATGCTGCTAGCGTCCATTATGAAGTGTATTATTCTGATGATTCGTTGATAGTCAATACAACCCTAACCAGTTATAACGTCACTGGTCTTCTTCCTTTCACTAACTATTCCTTATATGTTAGTGCATGTAACATCGCCGGTTGTACAATTAGTGAAGTCGTATCTACACTAACTGACGAGTCTCTTCCTGTGGGTGTGTCTATAATGATGATTAATGCTCTCTCGTTTGATCAAATTGAAATGTCCTGGTCTCCACCCACTCATGCCAACGGTATCATATTAAATTACGTCTTAAGACGTGACGGGGATTTAGTGTTTAGTGGATTAGCTCTCAGTTATACTGATACTAATCTTGTAGGTGGAGTTTCATACTCGTACACACTAGAGGCTGTTAATAGTGCTGGTGGAACCACCAGTCAACCCATCACAATCACTACGCCAACTTCAAGTCCAACTGGTATAAAGTCTCCAAATACAAGAGTCATCAGTAGCTCAGCCATATACGTGGAGTGGGCCGAGCCTGAGAAAGCAAATGGTATAATATCGTCGTATCTTGTGTATGTGAATGGCAATCCTGTATTCAATGGATCATCATTCAATCACACAGTAACTGGTCTGTCTCCTTTTACAACATACTCGATACGTGTTGAGGTCTGCACTGTACAGGGAGATTGTGGTAGCAGTCCATCTGTCAGTAACACTACACTGCAGTCCGTGCCTAGTGGACTGGTAGCACCGACTGTCCAGTCTCTATCGGATAGCAGTATAATGGTCTCGTGGTCGGCACCATCGTCCCCTAACGGTATCATAAGGTTCTATAGGATTAGACGGAGACTAGCTGAGAATCCTCTAGCTGTTTTAATTGCGTATGCCGGTGGTCCTAATGTCTTTACTGTCACTAATCAGGGTCTCTCTCCTTTTACACGTTACGAGTATCAGCTTGTTGTTGTTAATGATGCCGGTTCCTCCCTTAGCTCATGGGCAGAGGTGACAACACTTGAAGCTCTCCCGGCTAATGTCACTGCTCCTACGTTCTCCGCAGTGTTCCCGTACAATGTCACTGTCAATTGGGAGGCTCCCCTTTATCCTAATGGCATAATAACCCAGTATCAGGTGTTTTATAGACAATTGATAGGTAGTTTCATGCTGGCCGATACTCTTACTGGAGATACTACCGAGACTGTAGTCACTGGTCTACAGCCTTATACTCCGTATGATTTCAAGATAAGAGCAATGAACAGTGCTGGTAGTCAGAATAGCACCATTGAGGTAGTGATCACGTCAGAGGCAGCTCCTGAGAACCTTCAACTGATTTCTCTCGTGACGAGGACTAGTGAGTCCCTGACATTGACTTGGTTGCCTCCTCTCAATCCTAATGGTGTCATCAGACAGTATGCTCTCTTCTTGAATGGCTCTGAAGAGTATCGTGGAGTCGTCTCTTATTATACCATCACTCGTTTAAAGTCTTTCACTGGTTACTCTATACAATTGGAGGCTTGCACATCAGCTGGTTGCACAAGAGGCCCCACTCAAGGTTTTACGACAGCAGAGAGTGCACCTGTGGGTCAACCCGCTCCCTCTTTCACGTCACTTACCTCAAGATCAGTCAGACTCAGTTGGGGCCAGCCCCTGCAGACCAATGGTATCATAAGATCCTATGAAGTATTCAGAATGCAAGTCAATGAACTACAACAAGTTAATGGTACTGGTAATGCACTCCTGGTATACAATACTAATAATGTAGCTTCACGAGTATATACTGACAGCAGTCTATCTCCTTACACTGGTTACCAGTATGCTATTAGAGCTAATAACTCTGCTGGTTCATCCATCAGCTCATTTGTGTACATACAATCACTTGAGGATATACCAGAGGGTGTCACTGGACCAAGTGTCATTGTACTAGGCACTAGTGACATTAGAGTGTCCTGGGATAGACCAGACTATCCTAATGGAGTAATATCAGTCTATAATGTATATCGGGCCAGCCCTTCTCTTGTCGCTACTGAAGCATACTCTGGACTCAATAGGTTTTTCACAGACACTGGTCTTAGCCCTTATACAATGTATAATTACACAGTGGAGGCTTGCACTGTTATAGGTTGTGCTAACAGCTCCTCGGCCTTTAATGTCACTGATGAAGCAATACCCGAAGGATTCACTGTCCTAGTATTGAGTGCAATATCAAACTCCGTCATATCTGTTAGCTGGGAGGCACCAGCATACCCCAATGGTATTATCACCACATACATTGCTAGTATTACCTCACCTATCAATATAACCATACCAACTACTTCTACCACTCAGAGATTCACTAATCTCCAACCATTCACCAATTACACTGTATCAGTACAAGCATGTACTGTAATTGGTTGTACTAGTGTTGGCCCAAGGACTGTACAGACACTAGAGTCCATACCATTCCTTATAGCTAGCCCCGTCCCCTCTCCTCTGAGTCCTACATCAGTATCAATCGTTTGGTCTCCTCCTGCAGTTCCTAATGGCGTCATTATAAGATATATCCTACGTCGCAATGAGTCTGTTGTTTTTGACGGTAATAGTCTCTCGTTTACTGACTCTCCCCTCCTACCCAATCAAGTGTACTCGTACGACATTCAAGCCTTCACTAGTATTGGAGGAGGCGATAGGAGCTCGTTGAGTTTTATTACCATGCCTTCTGACACACCCACAGGCATAGCTCCACCCACTGTATCAGCCGTAAGCTCAACTGCTATATTAGCCAGTTGGACTTCTCCATCAACTCCTAATGGAGTCATACAGAGATACATACTGTACTTAATGGAGGGAGATACTGAAGTGGTTGCTTATAACAGCACTGGAATGAGTCATCTGGTAACTGGCCTATCTGTATATACCTTGTATCGGTTTAGAATTGAAGCATGTACAACTACATGTGGTTCTAGTGCTTATAGTAACGAGACGACACGTGAGGCCGCACCCATTGGTCAGAACGGCCCCACCTTGCTAGCCTTTGATAATGAGACTGTGTTGGTCACATGGGACCCTCCCACGTCACCTAATGGGGTCATTACCTTGTACTCTATACAAAGACGGCAAGTCCTTGGGGTTAATTTTTATGGGACAGTCATTAGTATTGCTACACATCTCTCACCAACGACTCAGCAATTCTTGGACGAAGACGAAATACTTGAGCCAGCTCTCACCTTTCAGTATCGTGTGAGTGTAGCTAACTCAATCGGGAGCATTACCAGTGATTATGTAGATGTGACATTACCTGATGCACCTCCAGAGGGTGTCTCTGCTCCTGTCCTCGTTAATAAAACATTTAGTATGATTTCTGTCTCGATAAATCCTCCATCAAAACCCAATGGACTCATTACCCAGTATATTCTCCACAGCACTAGCTTCTCCTCAATGACTGTGCTACCATCCTCGCAATCAGAGACAGTTTATTTTGTTGTATCAGATCTCAGTCCATACACATCTTACAGCATGTACATTGATTCATGTACTAGTGCAGGGTGCACTTCAAGTGCTAGTATCAGCGTGAGGACTGAGGAAGACGTGCCCACTGGTCTTGCTCCTCCTGTTCCAACTGTAACGGGTTCAACTAGCATTAGGTTGGACTGGTCTAGCCCTGTTAATCCTAATGGAGAGATTACTAGGTAAAATATGAATTATATAATCCACACTCTGTGTTCATTTATTGTTTATTATTATTTTATATTGCAGTTATTCCCTTTGGTTCAAGTTACCTTGCCCTCAGCCACAAGTCTATCCAGTGGCTACCACCTGCTCTGAGACAGACTATCAGTTCCTTGTCTCTACCTCTCAACTCTCCTACGAGTTCACTGGTCCTCCTCATCCCCTCCCACTCAGCACATATCAGTTCATACTGCAAGCAGAGAACAGCGTAGGAAGAGTTAACTCAACTGCCTCTGATACTGCCACAACACTTGACGACTGTAAGCAATCATGCGTAATAAGAATTTACTTTACTTCTTTCTCTTGCTTTATCTTTTATTTCTTTTTCTCTCTTTCAGTGCCTGAGGCTATTAGTACTGTTTCCTTTACTATCTATTCTCACAATCAATCTGTTGCTCTCAACTGGGCCAGCACGTTTAGACTCAACTCTGTTCTCACTCACTTCATTGTCATTAGGGATGGGTTCTTCCTCCTCCAGGGAACCCAAACATACGCTGTATTTGGAAACCAACCTGTGGAAAGAAGTAATCCTCAATAATAGCATTTTGCTAATTGCTATAGCACAACTAATAATCATGCATAAATGCTAATAATAATGTAACCATTGGGAATATTAGCTTCAATATCATTTTTGCATATTTAGTGTTGCAGTTTTCAGTTAAAGCAGTGACAGCAAGAGGTGAAGTAACAAGCCCATCGCTTCCTCTCCTAATACCAGGACTCAATACTGGTTAGTCTTGACTGACTACACATACTATTATTGTACATTTATTATATCCAATAGCTTCTTCAACTGCCACTACAGCAACAACCAGTACAACTCCAACAGTAAGCGGTACTGATCCTCCCACTGATGATACTCCAGTCTACGAGAGGCTCCCTTTCATTATTGGGATGGTGATACTTGCACTCATCATTTGTTTCGTTGGATTTCTGGTCCTCTTGTGCTTTATAAGACCAAAGAACAGAGGAGTGACAGAGAAGTATGATATATTGAGTGGAGAGTCGAGACAGACCTCACCTGTTCGTGACGACGGGACTGTGAGAGCTAGTTGTGGCCCAATATATGGTGGATCCAGACTAACAGTAAGAACCAACATTGCAATGTATCTAACTTCAAAATGCTCTCTTTCCTACTAGCCTTCTCCTAATTATAATGATACATTGAAGAGCAGTCCTGAGCATTATCAGACCCAAGCTGGCCATTCCTCCACACGAATGAAGTCTTACTCTCCATCCAAAGTGGCCCTGCTCGACCAGAGCTTTGATGAAGGAGATATACCACTGCAAGATACAGTATGAAATTTTTTTTGTTATTATTAGTTATGTTTACTATTCTTATTTTATTTTCTAGCACATTGCAAGACTATCAAAGATTGATCTATCTCCTGAAAGTATTTTAGGCCCCCCTCCACCGGGTCCTGAACAGGATGTGCCCCCCAATGATGATATTGTCCCATTGCCCTCAACACAAGACATATCACGTGACACTTCAGTAGTTAGTTATTCACCCAGTCCTCCCCCTCCTCCTCTTACCCCCCTACCAGAAGATGACGCATTCATGGATACAAAAATATAGAGAATGACTCACAATTTTTATAATTTTTAGTTTCTCTTTGATATGCTATTATTATTAATATTATTATTATTATTATTATTATAGTTTTTATTAATTATTATTTGTTAGCAAATATTGGCAAATTAATAGCAAAATTAATAAAGACGCCATCAATAATCTTTGCTGTACTAAGCAGGAATAGAAGGACCTAAGAAGACCAATCATTCATAAATGTGCATATGTACAGAACTCACCACAATCCACTTCATGGTCCTTAGGCCTTGTACCTTTTGTAAAAAATCAAAATAGAATGCAATAGATCATGCATATACCTTTTTGAATGTCACTGATAATTGCAGAGACACAGGCAGCAATAGCGTTAGTTTGATTGATATCTCCATACACATCGTAACAGTCATATTCAATGGACCTTTCCATGACTCTACTACGCAATACATTCATGCTACCTTCTGAACAACTCTCTCCTAAAAAATTTGTAGAGACAAAAAATAAAGAGTGTGTGTGTGTGTGTATGTACTACTCGTGTTTCACATGAACAATAATTATAGTAATAGTATCACACAAGCAGACATATCAAACATAAATACAGACTCAATCATAGTGCAGGTGCCACAAACACTATAGTAAATATTACATTTTCTGTAGTACCCAATTAAAATTTTTTTGAGACCCAGTTCACATTCGTAGGATTCACCTTTTCCTTTTTTGTGGACAACAATAGCCACGACCTCGTTAGCATTCATATTTGGCAATTCGACAGTAGAAAAATAAGATGAATTGCTAAAGGCTCCTCCATCTCGTTCCCCATCTCCAAGCCAGTATGCACTGCCACGAGATGCTTTTGCAAAATCAATGGAGAAGCGTTCCCAAAAGTTACCAGAGACACTGCAGAGACACTCGTTAACATAATCTATACCACCTGTGGATTTGATAAATTTATGTGTAACATGCAAAAGGTTTATTTTATTTACCTCCTTCAACACCACACCAGTTAACTCCATATCCCAGATCATTAATGATAGCTGATGAAGGCTCATTTGTAGAAGAATAGACAACAGCTCCTGCAGGATTAGGCTGAGTGCTCACAACCTCAACAATGGAATAAGTCCCAGACCAGAATAGAGACTGATCTTCCTTGGCTTGCATGGGGAGTACCATAAAGTATGGCTGATAGTGCCTAAAATGATGAAATAATGATAATGCAAGTTTAAATTTTAACAACTGACTCTGCTGCAACAGTTGCTGGATCCCGTCCACTAAAGGCACCTTTAAATGCAAACCAGGCCACAAGGCAATGTATCAAACCCAAGTTGAGGTCTCTGCAGTTAGAGATAAAGTCTTTCCTGATAGTCAAAGGAGTCTTGCTGCACTTCTCAGCAAAGACATTATCAAATGCAAAGAAAATAAGTAAAAAGAGGACAGAAACCACTAACTTCATCTTGAAAATATTATAGCATAACTTGACAGAATCATTGCATTATATAGACCTAGGACAAGGGCAATTGCATACAATGACATCATTATGAATATAATTATTTTATTCAGCTAATCAATTCTGCCACTGAGTCATCCCAGCAAAAGTTAATTATGTTTAGATGCAATAAGCATTATTAGCTACATCATGTTTTGATCACTGATGCTATTATGCTTGTAATGGCTCGTAGCGTAGATTTAGCAATATTATTATTGAATAAATATAACAAGAGAAAAGAGATCTCACAAAAATCATCAAGATACTACTTCAGTCCTGAACAAGTGATTAACACACACTATTTATAATCATCCCATTATTAATTAATATTAGTCAATTAACATACATAAATATTATGTAATATAACTAATGAATTATACATTATCTCACAATGCTCTATAGAAGTTTGAGCCAACTCAAATTGCTAATTCTTGAGCTATGATGACTTAAATCATTGAACCTGATTGTTAGAAATATTTTTTAAACTTTGAGTACTTTGTTTGCACTTCACACAATTTACACTTGGAATGTAAAATAAGGTGTTAATTTTCTGATTGGGGTGTAAACAATTGGGTTCCCAGCACTAAATGCATGAAGATAGATAATCTACCTTTATACCTTCCACACCATTTAATTCCAAGTCCCAAGTCACTAATAAGCATAGGTTGTACAACGTGGTGGAGGTATCTATGGCATTTATCATACCAAGGGCCATAGGCCCAAGGTATGATAAGGCCATAGATACCGACACAGAGTTGTATAACTACCAACTTCTACCATGTACTAAAATAAACAACTAGTTATACTTAGCAACACTTAGCAACAGGTTGTCTATTTTCAAGCAGGAGGTTAATAAGTAATTTCCAGTGCTACTTATTATTAACCTCTGACTGTCTGGGAATTTACTTATTAACCTCCTGTTACCCGGGAATTTACTTATCAAACCTCCTAGTGGTGAATAAGTTATTTATGAACTTAAAATCAAGCAATCTGATTGATCAATTGCAACTAGGCATGGTAGAATAGCTGATAAAGGTTATTTGTACCCAGTATTCATGTTTGTACACAGCTTTTGTATGATTGGTGAGGCAAAACACCTTACGCAGTTTTTACCATGCCTATTTGCAATTGACCAATCAGATTGCTGCGTCGGAGGTAAGTAAAATCACTTACCCATAGATACTACATAACAGAATATCAATTATTAAGAATGAAAATAAATACCGGTAGATAGATCAGAGCATAGATATTAGAGTATAAAGTATAGATTATGATCAGAGTATTTGCACTTTTACTTTGACCAAATATGGCATTAGATTTATCTATCTCATCACTTGTTATTAAAGCTGTGATACTCTATCCTCCTACGTTGACCACCTGTTGACTGTTGTCTAACTATACCTCGGACTATACTGTTGTTCTCTACTTGCCTTTCTTTGTGAAGCTCTCTTTTACTATCTTCAGCCATGATTGACCTTTGTCAGTGGAGAGCTAGAATAGGATCCTGGAACTGCTCCCACCATTGGTCACAATCCAGTGATTGTACTAGATCCAGTAGTACTGGTAG